GTATTTGTGGAAATAACCACAGAATTTGCACCAGTCCAAGATTTTTATGTGCGCTTTTGAAATTAAAGCCTGTATGAATCACACTTTAACACATTCACTATCAACTGAACTTCTCCATCAGAAATCCCGCTGCCTCCAGCTAAAAGTGTTATCTGGCAAGCTAACTGACGTTAATTATCGCTATTAAACTATGAATTTTGGAGCAGAACACAGCTGCAGTATGTTTCCTGGATTGACAGGAAATAAAAGCAAAAAAATAAGTAAAATTAGGCTGTTGTGTCCATTTAACACATTCCAAGGTTGAATGCTGCTGTTGGCATTTCTTATAGCAGGTGAAAACAAAAAATGGGAGCAACTCAACAGGCTGAGCGGGCGACCCATAAACATGTCCATGTGCTGCAGGTCCTTCCCCCAATCTTCTCCCTACATTCCTGTCTTCTCCTCTCCACTTACCTGTCTGATAAGGGCCAATAACAATAATAATAATAATAGATAAATAAATAAAATAAAAAATTCTGAATCAGAAAACAGTCTCCCTTGTTGTCTGCACATGATACAGAAATGAAGAGTTCATTTGCAAAACAGAAAACTCCATCTTCAACTTTTCCATCGTCTACCTGAGACGATATCAATCAAACTTAAGTTATCTCTATTTAGTCATGTCATTTCTACTGAGTCAAATCCACTCAACTTCAGTTTGACTGATATTATCTCAAGCAAACAACAAAAAAATATGTTTTCTGAAAATCTACAAAAATTGAGTTGTTTTTGCAAATGAGCTCTTCAAACATCACGTGCACATCACAACATGCATCTAAAGTTCAAACTGAAATGTACAAAGAGATGTGAGCTGAAGACATAAAACAGCTAAACACTTTGATTCAGACAAATCCAGTCTCCAAAGCAATCTAAAACAATCACCATCATTTATTTACAATATATTAAACTGCAATGCAAAATTTATAACAAGTTGTCAATTTGTTCAATAATGAAAATAAAGAGGATGTATTTCAAGGCTAGCATGAATCATACACATATTTATATATAAATACTGTGTGCAGTCAGCATTATGTCTTTTTTTTTTTCCTTTCAAAGCCAGACACTTTATTAGAGTCAAAAAAACACATTTTAACACTTGAGTCGACTGCATAGAGAATAAAAATGAAGAGTTTACAAAAAGCATTAATAGTAGAATCACACACAAGTTCTCCCACAATATCCAAGAATTCTTTCAATCCCCCACACTAATGTCAAGCTCTTCTGGTCTTTTAATGGCTTTCAAACATATCTAATGCTACTCAGTAAATACAGACACGTGACCAAAGGGTGCGATGTAACACTTAAGCAACCATGAAACTACACGTTTTTATTTCATTGCTATTCAGGCATCACTGTGTTAAACAGAAAACACACAACTTGACAGATAAACAAAGACACTGAACATGAGTTCACAGTATTGGTTATACAGGTTGGATTGTAGTGTGTCCAGTCAAAGAAGTTGCAGTTAAAATAAGGCTAGAAAAAGGCTGGTGATATTCTAGATTCTCATTATCATCAAAACCCATGAAAAGATTTGCTTGCAGGGTTCATGTTCAACTTTACTCAACTCTGGCACTCAAATGTGCACAATTGACTTACTAGTGACAAATAGTTTCTGATGACCTCTAAGGAGCGGAGAGCCAAAGTAGATGTTATCGTAGCCCAATGGATCCTTCACTTCACAATCTAACATTTGAGGGATATAGTGAAAATTAAATTCCAGTTACTGCCACTCTGATCTATCGTGTGCCCCGTTGCCTGACAGCACTCCACTTGTCCAGCTGTGCCTTGTGATTGTGCCCATTGTGATTCTCTTCCTTTTTCTCCCTTTTTTGTGTTTCTGTGATTACATGTCGAGTTACATGTCAATTCCAAATTGCTTGAATCAGGTTTTAAGAAAATAAATACCTATTAGCTTCAACCACTTGTATAGACTGTACTGGAGGTTCCTGCCTACAAAAAAAACTCCATCTGTGCTACAATGGTGATCAATTTAGGAGAGGACTGAATCTTTTATAAAAATACAACTATATATTTGTGTGTTCAGTAGGAAAAAGCAGGCTGAGATCCAGGAGTGCTGATGGCACCTGATCCATCCATACACTGTATGCCTTCTCTCTTTATATACAATCTCTGTACGCTCCAGAGAAAGGGGAGAGCTTGGAAGAAAACTCTTACAAAACTTCAGTGCACATTTGACCATAGGACATTTAGTTACCCACTTTTTTTTCCCCCAAAGGGCAAGAACAACATAATTGGCTTTAGTCTTTCCATGTGATTTGTTGATAATAAGAAAAACACAGTTACGACACCAGCTTTTTGTTATAACATGCTGGTTTAAGATACATGTGTTCAGTGGTTTTGTGAGAAACCAACAAATGACTGGTGCTCAAAGTCAAGTACATTCCCCTTGGAAAAGGAAAGCACATCACACTTAAAACAAACCACAGACGGCATATGAACGACAAGCACTGGGGACAAAGCCATAGTCTCTTCATCACTAAAGAAGTCTGGCAAGTACTTAGCCAAATCAAGTCAAAATAAAAATAAGACAAGGCATTTCACAGAAGTAAGCTCAAACCTTGCACAAATTAATTTGCTTGACGGAGATCCTCTACAAAACAAATCTGTCAAACATTAAGAACAAAAGATTCGAAAGGAGAAAAATGGTTTGCTTCCATAGCAGAGCAGTTAACTGATGCAATCCTCTTCCCCTGGAAAGAAGAGATAATTTGCCAGCAAAAAGCAGAAAAAAAACTTTTTCAGGCAAACATAAAGCAGGCAGAAGATAATGACAACATCTTCAGTGTACAGTGCAGCAGTTCGTGAAGCGCCACAGCTGCAGAGAAGCCAGCTGTAGAGGAGCCCACTTAAATCAAATGGCACTTGTCCCAAAGAGGAAAGAAGGAAAAAGGCTGGGGCTTTTCTCAGGATTTAGCATCAACTGGCAATAAGTAAAACAGTGTGCACACATACTTGGAACAAAGGCTTTTTGGCAATACGTTGTTGCATGGCAATACATATTATTGTGGTGTACTATATGTAAATAAGGGAGGAAGAGAGATAAAGAGAAAGAAAGAATATATTATCATTGAAACCTCAAGTTCTTTGGCTCAGTTACAACCATGATGGGAGTTAAACCGGATGGCTGCTCAAGCCAAACAACTGCTGCTTGCATGCAACCAGCAGAGTGGAGTCATTAGTAACAGAGCTGCTGTGTGTGCAGTGAGGTCAGACTGATGAGTGCCTAGTGAAAAACACAATGTTGTTAGTCCAACTACGACTAAATCCTGTGAGGACCTGCCATAGGAAGTTTGGATTTTGAATGTTTGTGTTTTCCTGCAGGATTGTGAGTGTTTAGTGTGTGTTTGTGTCCAAGTGACCACTACTGTGGTCAGCTTTACATGCAAGACAAACTGTCCCAGCTGAATGATGGTGCATTTCAGAGGCTGACGGTGAGGACTATGATGTGGTCTCATAAAGCCGGTCCTCCCCGTCGTCGTCTTTCATGTGGCTGCTGTATTTGTATCGAGAGTAGTAAGAGCCCTCGGTCGCCCCGCCCTCCTCTTTTTCTTCTTCCTCCTCTTCTTCATCAGATCTATCAAAGCAGTAGCGTCTTCGGCTAGGGGGGCTGGAGGACGGAAGAATAAGTAGAAGCCAATGTTATGAACAAAGAAGTGAACAAAGAGTAGAACAGTGGTTGGACAAAAAAATCCATGCACTGCAACATCATAAACACAAGCAGATGTGGAAACGAGCACTTTGACAAGATGCCTAAAGAAAGTGTAGCTAATAAGGAGCTCATAAAACACATTTATAGGAAATTAAAAACACGCTACAAACTGACTGGTTGGAGGCGATCTTCTATGACCTACTAAGTGGAAAAAATGATGACAGGCAAATGTAAAATGACAAAAGACATGGTTTTGTCTGACAGTGAAAGGTTGATATGCTGTATGAGAATGAGGCTTTCCCCTTAATCTTTGGCATCGCTGCAATTGATCTTCCACCTACCAGTTGCACCACTAAGCACACAGCAGCTGGGCTTCACCAGTTGGTGAGCCAGGAAGAAATCCAGCACTTGTCCCATCTTTGGTTTTAAAGTGTTGAATTTAATAGATGAGTCATTTCTCTTTGGAGATAAAACAATTTTAACTGTCATTGTTTGTCTTGCACCAGAAAAGACTGACTTTGTGGACGAGTAAATACAGAAACGTTCCAAATCTTACACAAAAGCAAAATTACATGACAAGGCAATAGACATCTCCATGGGACACTAAAACACATTTGTCAATAAAGTCCTTTTTGAGCAAACATCATTTGTTGAACATATAGCATTAATACTCTTAAATAAGTAATTCTGGTGTCATTGTTTATACTAGTACATGTAGAATTACCTTTTACTATCTACTACCATGTGCACCTGTTCTTTGTGTCGACAAGAGAATCCTTTACACCACCTGGAGCGTTTCTGTATTTGCTCTTTGTCTGATTGGGAATGGTTCTACGTTTGATTTTGTTTTACATATTCGCAGCATTTTTCTGACATGTTTTCTCAATGTAGTGATGTGTTCTTGTGTTACAGTATGCAGAGTTCTTCTGACCACTGGACTAGTGGTGCGTTTATCACTGTTGTGATGCTTACTTTGCCTTTAGCTTTCAGTGGCCACAAAAAAAACGTAGCAACCTTATGTGATGTGGTATCACGCTATCATGCAAAACTGTTACATGTTAATATGGTTATTAAAAGATAGTATCTATGTCATTCAAAGAAACACACAACATTGTTACAAGTAGTGTTCCATCCTCACAATATTATAAGTACATTTGAAAATTAAATAAGTGACTACCAATTAGCAAGTCACTTAAAAACAGTATCTCAAATGTTACCAAACAACTCTGACACAAGAAAAATCCAATCAATTTGCCAGTTATTTACATTTACGTAGCCCAGCTCTTTAACATTACTTAAGGGCTAAAACTGTGAAAATTGGGGGCTTATTACTGTCAGCTGTAAATCACAAATAAATTTGCCAGCTGATTTAAATCAATGCTCAAGGTTTAATTACGCCTGCGGTTATGAAGCTGGAAGTAAAAACGCATCATGGCCTCATATTAATTGACTCCTGTTATTTTTACCTTTCTGGGGCTATAAATCAAAGCGACATCTCAGAAGTACTTAAAAGCTGATTTACCATCTATGTTGAGGGCATCTTCTCATCGACTGAACTGAGCTTAGTGTGATAAATTTCATAACACATGACTTTCTGCTACCGAAGAGTCCTTAATAGTATTAAACCAGAGAAAAGAATGCCACAGAAACTGTAGTCACTACGACTAGACTTTAAATTGAGAATGTGTGAGAATTGTTAGCATGCCTTATATGACACATCAAAAAAAGCAAACTGCAAATTAGAATTAGAAGCTGACAAAGTCTAACCCAAGTCAGACTAAATGTGGGACATTTGATGTGCTGATTAATAGAACTGATAAAAGGTCTTTCATTGGTTAGGTCACATCATGCTTCAAAAACACCCTTCAACGCAAGTCGGCATCAGGCAATCACCTACTCCCTGCATCAGTCACTGTCCGGCCGGTACAAGTACTTCATCATCAGGCTGTCCACCTTCTTCTTCCTCTTCTTGTCATCCTTTTTGTTAAGGGGTTGGCTGTTGCTCTGGGGCGCAGCTTCTTCCTCCCCTTCAGGGCTGGACACCTTTCGACTCGGGGCCCTCTTCACACTGTTGGAACTTCGATAGGAGATCGTGGAAGCACCTGAGCTTGAGTCCGATGAGTCTGACTCAGAATCTGAAGATGAAGAAGATGAGGAAGAAGACGAAGATTCATCCTTCTTTTTGGACTTTTTCTTGGACTTTTTGGACCTCTTCTTGGAGTCGCTCTTGTGACGACGACTCCTGTCTCCTGAGCTGTCGGACTCGGAGCTATGGCTTCTTTTATTTTTCTTGCTTTTACCTTTACTCTTGCTGCGATGGCGACTGCTGCAGCTGCTGGCACTGCGTGATGATCTCATGCAGTCCACAGCAGATGCAGAGCGTCTCAGACTGCTTGTGGACCGACTACTGTCTCCGTTCCGCACACTTTTGCTATCATCGTCATTATTCCTGGATTTTTCTTCATCACCCTCAGAATCTTCCAAGCTCCTGCGTTTGAATTTGATAGGCTTGAAACTCAGCACTTCATTGATAGCTTTCTCCAGGTCAGGGTCGAGGTAGTTGCGATGACTGACTGTTTTGATTTCCGAGTTATCAAGTGGGTCGTTATCAAAAGTGGATCTGGCTTGCGGGGGTGGCATGGAGATACTGCGGCCAGTGGATGAGTGAGGACTAAACGCCGACCTCTCAGTGAAGGCTACACTTCGACTATCATCAACATCAACGTCAAACTCACTGAGACGACAGCTGCGTGCCAGTGACATATGGGAATCGGCTCGGCTAACACTTCCAGGACTGCGACCCCCAGACCGTCTACTGAAGCAAGGGCTGTTGGGATTGCTGCCATACAGTGATCGCCCGCCTCTGCCCTCATCTAAGTACGCGGCACTTCGATGCCGTCCAAGTGGGCTTGAACGGCCTAAGCTGATAGTAGACTTGGAATCATGCTCCGGACTTAACTCAAGACGTGTGGAGGCCCGACTCGGTGCAGTGAATGAAAAGGTTGATTCTTTGTCAAAGTCATCCCAGCGGCTGTCCATTCCTTTCCTCGCTCGGCTATTGGCCTCTGAATAAGCTTGGGAAATGGTGGAATCTCTGCCGTTCATGTCATCCAATGCCTGAGACTTCCTTCTAGAGCTGACTGAGTAGGTGTCATCGTGAACATCTGAGGTTTTGGACTTGGGCTTATGGAAGGACAGAGCATCCTCTGAATCCGCATTCTCCTTAAGAGCACTGAAAAGGGCATCTCCTTTGCCAGCAATAGAATCGAGGTTGGATCGTTTTCTGTAGCTTAGGGAGCTCATCACTGACACTGACCTGTTTGTTTCTACTTCTTTGCCCTCTTTATTTGCCTCTTTCCATTCCTTACCCTCTTTCCACTCTTTCCCTTCCTTTGCATCAACATTTACAGCATATCTAGAGAGAAACAACAGTGGGAATGACAGAGGAATAAAGACGAAGGGAGAGAAAATGACAAAGATGAGATATTGGGTCAAGTGGAGGTGAAGAGAGGAAGAGATAAGAAATAAATGATTGAAAATTGACAAATCATGAAAACAAAAATGTGAGAAGAAATGCAAGCACTGAAATTGAACAGAATGAGAGGACAGCAATGGAAAAACACAGATAATGGAGATAGCAACTGGAGACGACTGACTAGGAACCAACAATCTTTTTTTCCTTCACTGGAATGTAAAGTCAGACACCAAAACAATTTTACTGCCCACCAAGGACAAATGAAGGCCACGGGGATGATATGAAGAAGAAAAATCATGACTTCAATCATCTACAATCCCATTTCAGTGCAACTGCTGTCAGATAATAATGTTGCCAAAAACACTTACATATCCATTTAGCTAAATAGCAGATACATATGCAATACACACAGAAAACTGTATGAGTCAGAACATAATGAACAATATTAAAGGACATTCCTGTTGTCCTTTCTACCCTCCTGGTGGTCTATTGTTTAAAAGAACTTGGCAGGAATTCCAACGTACTTGTTCTCATGTATCTGTGTAAATGGCCATTCGTCATGTAAACTTGAGAGTTGCTTCAAGGGGCACTGTCAGCTAGCTCGATGAATCAGTCAGTGTTTGTCTGAAAGGACAGGCTGCTAAGAGAGATTTAAAAACTCCAAAAGTTTTTAAAGTTGGGAGTGGCTGAGCTGACGGAGGGAAGTTAAATCTTCTGGTAAAGAGACAAATCTGGGGCAATCGAAGCTGTCAGCTTGCAGACACATTCATTAATCTCAGTGAGTGGCTCAGGTAGACTATGCCAGATGGCCAATGGGCACATCGATAAATCTACCACTGAGGTGGTTTGTTTTGAGAAAAAAATAGCCCACTCTTCACCGAGTGGATGACAATAAAGACAAAGCAGTTTGAAAAATACATTTAAGTAATAGTAGACCCTTCATTTCAGCCAAAAAGTCTGCACTGATGGCTTTGTTTCCTCTAGGTCATGTCATATAAACCTTTTCATGCAGGCTGAGTATAAAAGAAGTCTAATGTTTGGTAGACTGTTTCCTAACTGCTGCTGATGGAAATAGCTGCTGCCTGTGTACTGACCTGGAGCTCTTGAGGCTGCCGTCATCAGAAAGGTTCTTGGCGGAACCTTTGCTCTTGGACAACCAAGACTTTACCCCATCCACACGATCCTCCACCTCAGAGTCTGTTTCTGAATCCCCCTGACTGGTGAGGAGTCAGAGACAGGAAAAAAAGTCAAAGGAAGCAAAGGAAGCAAGGGAAAGATGAGATCGCAAAAGAGGTTATGAACAAAGCAAAGAGAGTCAGATACTGCCATTCAGTGAGGACAAAAAAGGTAAAAGGAATGTTAGTCTGAAGTCAGAGTCCGCACAGGTAGAAATGTTCCTGAAATTCTCAGTGGCTGTGGAACCAAACGAGGAAGAGCAGGCTTTACGTGTTAGTGTGGCAACAAAGGGCGACTGTACGATTTATACTGGATAAAAGACAGCGCATGCAGTCAGCTCAAAGAGCTCCTGTAAACACACAAACATGCCCATGAGAAGTTGTATAGATTCTTCTCACTTTTAGATGAGTGCAGCGCTATCACGGTCCTGCAGTATGCTGGCACAGAGGCATCCCACAAACATTCAACCTTTACTTTTCCAAAACTACTTTAGAGGTGCAGCAGCAACATGACAGGAGTAAAACCCAACAAACAGAGCTAGAATAAGACAAATGTTCTTTTTTTCATGTAACCTGGCTTGTAATATCATAGGTTTAGCCATCACTCCTGATTGGTACGATAGGTATGATAGACCAACCAAATTTACTGCTGAAACCTGGGAAAGAAGAAACACTGAAGAAACAACTGTTGAAGCTGACTGGTTTTAAGCCCACACTTCAGTGAAAGTGAAAAAAAAAGTGAATACAAATTGTTGCTTTGAAAATGACTTTGTGATTTGATGATGTGGTTGGACTGATATGTTCAGCAACGTTGCTGTATAGTGACAGTACAATGATTTAGCTTGATTTAAAAGCAATACTACAAACTGAAGAAGCACAGGCACATCCTGGAGCTGTTCTGATACTGATTTTTAAAATCACTGAACAGCAGCTTCACACATTATAAATGATCATGTCTTTTGAACTTTATGTACCCAGTTTGGAAAACTCAACATTTAGAATCTCTTCAAACCAATTTTCTTAAACATAAAGGGAAACTTCAGGCTCTCTTCATTGGCTCCATGTGAAATCCAGGATAGCATCAGAAATCCTGCTTCTCACATACAAGTAGAATAGGAGGCAGAGCCTTTAGTTATCAGGCTCCTCTATTGTGCAATCAGCTCCCAGTTTGGGTGGTTAGGCAGACCCTTTCCATTTTTAAGAATAGGCTTAAAACTTTCCTCTTTGATAAATCTTATAATTTGGGTTGCTTATGATCACCTGATCCATCCCTTAGTTATGCTGATATAGGTTTAGACTGCTGGGGGACTTCCTATTGTACACTCTCTCTCGTCTATACAGTTATACACCACCACTGCATGTCACTAACTTTGTCTCTTCTCTCTCGCAGTTTGTGTTTTGTTTTCTCTCTGCAGGTGTCTCTGAATCTGGAACTACACATTTTTGATCTGCAGTCACTGGCTTCATTAATCTCCAAAGTGTTTCTTGTTTTCTTATGTATTGTTTGTCTGTTCTCCATTTGCAATCCTGCCACCAAAAGTTGCATGAGAAGACTTTAATGACTCCAAAGGGATCTTTGCAAAATTTGATTAACTGCCTCGAGCAATATCACCTGAAACAGTGTTGGTGTGAAGAAACAACTGGATGTACCAGACCTCAGTAGACCCCTTCATCAACAAGAGGCTCCAGGATATCTAGCTGCTAGTAGCACAACACACATGAATGTTTGGACTGAGCTGAATCACTGGCAGTCAAGTTGCATTTTGGGTATTATGGCCACAAAGGAGGAGAATGCATGGAAGTATTGAAGTACCACTAGCTCAGTTGATAATGTTTGGGACATTGTCCAACTGCTCTCATGGGCATAGTAAATTGACATGCTGTATCTCTTTATGTGTGTCAGAGGTCAGCAGGACTTAAATACAAGGGAAAATCTCTTACACTCTGTCACTTATCAGTGGTTTATTTCACACTTCTATTCATGCACTGTTGTAGTTTAAATGACCGTCCTAAGCATATACATTACGATGACTACACCAAAACTACTTTAATCCGAATAAATCATTGTAAAAGAAAGTGAGAGAATGTATAACTTCTACTTGTTTTTAGATCTACAAACGCTACCATTATCAATAATAGAACTAATAAAACAACACCTATGTATGACAAAAAACTAATTTTCTTTTAACTGCAAGGCAGAATAGCAGAAAATGCCCACGTTTACCTTTCATCTGGTAATTATTTTCATCAGCAGTCCTACGCACACATGCAGTCATATGCAGACACTCATAATTTCAGTTCTTGACAGAATGATTTGGTACACAGCTGGGCACTGCACTGTTTTTCCTCTCAATTATCATTACACGTTCACAAACCACTGCGAGCCATGGAGTAAAATAGAGGGCTTGTCATAAAATTTGACACAGATGAAAAGAGCGCAACGCTCATTAAGTGCCGTCAAAGCCCAGTGCTTGCGTGGCGCTGTGAAATTAAGTTGTTACAGCTTAATAGTCCTACAGAGACATCAGAGGGTGGCTCTACATCTCTGCATCTGTTTCAGAAAACCTCCCATCTTGTCGCGAAAAGAGAGAGAAAAACGTTCTCTCTTTGTGGAGCTTAGCAAGGCCCAGTACCACCTATAATTAAAATCATTAGCAGTCAGAGACAAAAGCTCCCTGGATTTCAAAGAGGATATCTCAAATAATGGCTTGCCCTGTGAGATCTGAATGCATAGCCTGCTAGCTTTTATGGAATACAATAACCTTGGATGGTAATGCTGGGGCTGCATTCATGCCAAAGACAGGGAGGGAGGTATGGGAGGAAGGACGGGGGCGACAGACTCTTAAGCTGTAATTAGCTTTGCAGAACATGTCTCAACTATTAAGACAATCTGGGGATTTGCTGCTGCCTACTGCTATGATGACAAAACAGCCAAGTGTCTTTGTCTTTGCCTCTGTGGTGTTGTCAGAAAAGACTGAGTAAACATCACTCAAGCAGAGAGGATGCTCAAACGTCAGGTAGCAGTACCTAAAATCCTGAATTATTCCTTATCTCACCCATTTGAAAATTGGACTTGTGCGGTGGTCAAGTCTTGATGTTGCTACTCTGCCCAACAGCCCTCCTTAATTAGTCTTCCAACGTTTGTCTTCACGAGCAACACTAACTTTCTTCTTTCTTGAGATAATAGATTCCCGCCTCAGAACCTTAGTCACAGTTTTCTGAATTTTACAGTTAGGTGTAGTAAAGCAATCATTTCTCTGAGAAACACTCACTGGGTAGACTGATAGTTTGTTTTTCCCATAGCAAGAACTGATTATGTGTTATATCACACATTGTCGTAGGGAGGTGGTTGGGGTGGGTGAAGCGTATACAGGACTTTGAAACCAGGGTCAACATCAAAACCTGACTAAATCATAGAGAGACAGAGAAATAGAATTTAGACAACTTCAACGCTTTGAATGACATGTTGCAAGTTAACAATGACTTCTTCATTACAACCCAAAAACTACAATTCTTCCCCAACCTTAACAAAGTTCCCTCAACATATTAAAAAACAAGAATAAACTTCATTGAGAAGGTAATAGTAAATACAAATTCTAGCAATTTTGAAAAGCAACGTGCAAACATTTTTTGTCAAAATAAAACCTGAAGTAGTGTGTGTTTACCACTGCAATTCCAGGATATATTCTGAGCACATAGAAAGACCTCTCAGGTCTATAGCCAAAACCACAATGGTGGGCACTATATAATTGAACGATTCACACATGGTGTCAACCACAATTTATGTCCTTGACCACCATACTATTAGTTAAGCTCTGCCGAGAGCCTGGGGGAAGCAAACAAACAGTGCTGAAGAGACATTAATTGTCTGTGACATTCTGGCGCCATTGGTTGTACATCTCTGTTACACACTATTACATTCATCATTAGCCTCTATGGGTCCTCCTGCTCTGCTCGGCTTTGCTCGTCTTTGTCCTTGGGTCTTACAGACACCACTATTTATGCCTCACATATATGAAAGTGTCGGCTGAGGGACGTCTCCATGGCTTTAGAGTACAGACAGGCATATGCATTGTCTCCAGGACTATCAAGAAATCTATGCTTGGAAGACTCCTCTCATTACCAGTGTCACAAAACGTTGATACTGTTTGTGTGCTGCACAGATTCTACAGCAATAAGCACTGGGTTCTATGCAATATGAATTGTACATATTCAAATGGTCATTTATTAGCTGTATGAAAAACAAACTAAAGTTAAAATCTATCCCTTTTTGTAGTTAGATATCTGAGCCAAAGTGCTTTTTAAGTTCTTTGTAAAACGCTACAATGCTTAAAATTTAGAGAGAAGGTCTTTGAAGATACACAGAATTCTTACTAATTTTTTTTTTTGTCATTCTGCCATCTTGTCGTTACTCTGTAAACATTCTTCACAGGTTTACAGTTGATGATCTGTTCAGATTTTTAAAAGCTTTACTGCATAAATGTATGTAATAATGAGTTAAAACTGATTTCCGTTAGCATTCTTTATGACAGGCTACTGGCAATACAAGCTTACAGTATGTTTTCTTTTGTCATGAGACAAAAGGGCAATCCAACAACCTCTTGCTTGAGTAATTGTTACATGGTTAGCTTTGAACATCCCGGAACCGTGTTGAACATAGGTGTTCTCCCTACAGCATGTTATCATTTGGATTGATGCATTTTGTAGTGATGAATAAATTAATTGATGAAATAAAATTAAGCTGACTAGTGAATGAGCTACCTCGTCTGACAACTGACTGGTCGTTTTCCCTTGTTGGATTTTGGTAGCTCAATACAGTGTCAGAGAAGTTGTGCATATTACAGGTCGTCGCAACAGACTAATGTCAGTAAATGTTAATAGTGAGGTACAAAATATGTCGATGGCCTAAAGTTCTTTGGCACTGTGCTGGAATTCCAACGCAGGCCATTTTAGATTGAAAAATACATAATTATAGATCTATAGTGTATGGAAAATAGTCTTGCTTTTTTTCTTAACCATCACATAGCAAAAATATGGCTGTTTATGTATGCATACAGTCCTCAGGAACCTTAGGTCTTCCATTAAACTTCCTCCCTTGGCTTAAATGAAACCTCTAAAATCTCATCTGTCTGTCAATAACCTATATTTAATCAATAATTACTTCATACCTTTAAATGGCTGCGATGTAACTCTATACTGTTGCCTTCTTTATAAGACACAGGTCAATGCCAAATGTTTTTCTTCAAACTACATTACAGTGCTGATCCTGTTAACCACGTATATTGTTCAATGCAATGCGTTGCATACTGCTTTAGCATGAAAGTATAAACTATTGTAACACTATTTAGAAATTTTAACTAGCAGGTTAATGCTAACATTGTTAGCTAGCCATACAGATTAGAAGTTGCTCATTTTAGATCCTTAGCTGCAGTGTTACCAACAAAGCCAGTGTTGGTTGTTTCCTCTTGGATACTGCTGTCTGTTCAAAACAGAGCACTGAATGTCATTTACAGAGCAGATGTATATGCTGTAGGAGGAAACAAACCTTCATACAGTTTCAGTATCTTAGTTACAGTGTATCAGATTTCATAATTAAGTTATACTGCTAAATTATACTATAGTTAGCTATACTTGGGAATACTGTATTTGAATTAATAAATTCACATGCATAGCTTCATAATTTAGACTTCATGAAAATAGAAATGCATGCCGTGTCTTTTTAAAACACTAGGAAGGATAAACTTTTTTTATGAAAATGTGGCGGTGTTGTGAAATCCAAACATTTTGATCTTTGGTCTTGACAGTAGTCTGCACTTCTCAGCTGTGATTAGTTATCTATTACACTGCCTGAAAACCCTACACTGACAGCGGAGGGAAATAGCTGGGAGCCAGAGGTTAACACTGCATGTGAGCTACTTGCCTAGTGAGCAAGACAGCTTTTTGTAAGACATTTGAGGGTTCTGCATTATTAAGCAAGTGCAAGTCAAAGATTGATGAGTAACACACCATCCCTTTCTCCTGTCAGGAGGGCAGTCACCGCCGAGCCACAGTCACATCCAGCCCTAAAGCAGGACGATGAAATATTAAGAGGGCCCAGGGAGCGAGAGACTGAGTCGTTGCCAACTGCTGTTCAAACACAGCACAGCAGTGTCCGATACGATACCCTCAAACCAGAAGATAAATACAGCTGGATGAACTCCCCGGTCAACTTAAGAAGAACTGTGAGGAACGTCTTGGCCTCGAGGGGGCTGACCAGAGAAATCCTGACACATGTGCCTTTCAACTCAAAGCTTTGAAAAGTGGTTGCCCATACAGGAAATCAAAGAAGGGAACTGTGCTATGCTTTGAGGTTTGAGTGTTTTTTTTAACTTCAGTATATCCAGAGTTTGGACCTCTAAATTTTTACAAGTACTGGGAGATTCCAAGTATCGAGCACCACTCAGGTCACACTTACATATGACCTGCCTTCAGGTACGACTACAAGAGGACAACGTAGTAGCAGGGACTCTTCAGTTTTCTTCTGTGACAGTGAACACAACACACAGACTTTCAGTTACAATACTGTTTAACGATGCATGTTACAGCCAACCAAAGTAAACCTACTACTCTTATAGCACTTTACTGTGACTGCAGCAACGTGTTGCTATTCTCTCAGACACCAGAAGTAACTCGCTTCACACAACAAACCCACTAATCTATATCACCATGTTGCTTAAATGTGGGCAGTCAAACTGTGGCCAAAGTCTGTCATTAGCACTTGTTTCTAAAGTCCTGCATCCTGTTCACTGAAAGCTCCCAGTCACTCTGTCCAGTATTATTCGAAGTGTAGAGGGCAGTGAGTCTGAAGACAGCTGGTATACTTGATTCAAGTTGAGTATACAGGTTTGGTCTGAGGAAAAGTCAGTCAGTCACCATCTGCTCTGCTTTATGCTAAACTTTGTCTGGTTGTTTTACTGTTGTAATACTTAAATATTTATGGCTGGTGGTTAGTTTGGTAATATATAGAATAAAAGCCGATTAAGCGGACTTTAGAGTGTGAGCACATGGCTACCTCCAGATAGCAGTATGGACCAGTGCAGGCTTGTAGTGCACAACATACATGCAAAATACCAAAGTAAAAGTGTTTTTTTTTCTGTTTTTTTTGTGTTTTTTAGTATTTTCCAGCATTAGGAGGGAGGTCTGTATCATGCTGGGGCAGTGACATATTGTCAGTGACATTCATGCATCTCAAATTGTGAGGGCATGCAACAAAAAATGGAATAAATGAGAGTAATAAAGGAATCTCTGAGCACTGTTGATGATGCATTATCCCGAGTCTTCAGACATCCAGGGAAGATCGCCCACTGAGTTTATTGGACCTCTGCTCTTTGGAGCCTCTCTTGCTTTTTGAACAGTTGAACATGTCTGGATCTGGGTCTGAGGCATTGAACTTCAATTCTGAGGGCCGTTCACCGCAAGCTAGTGTCTTATAATAGATGAACATTGTCACAAGAATCAGAGAAAAATCACCAAACAACAGACTTGGTCCAGAATTTTGTATTTTTTTTCTGCTGTGGGACGTTCCTTTAAACATTAGCTCTTTGCTATGGCATGACAGCCAGAAGTGATGGACTAACTGGAACGAAATTAGACCCAGAGAAAATCTCTAGGTGTTCCCTCTCTATTCTCAGCTTATTGTCTAAATGTTCAAAGACTCTAGAATGCTGCATCATTTCTAGTGGCAAAAGAGGGAGATGAAATTTCTCACGTTCTATTCTTTCTTTTCTGATACTTTGTCACCATGTCTTGCAAACTGGCCGTGATGATGATGATGATGATGATGATGATGGGAGGAGGGAGAGACAAGAAAAGAAAACAGTAAAAACAAAAGATTATAGAAAAACAAAATAAGAATCAAAAATAATCCATGAATGATGCTTAAAATATCGCAGTAATTGTGGATGTTGTGGAAGATGCTGTGATGAACCAGTTTTGTTCTTCCCTCTGGCAAGTCAACTGTACACACACATCATGTTTTTAGTGGCACTGAGCATGCCACTGCAGGCTGACCTTACATAAAGAGTGGGGGAGAAAGCCTTATAGAGCAGATTTTAATGACTCACAGAGCTGTCCACGGCTGTTGTAGACACAAGACCTCTCACTCTGTCTTTGTAGACTACACTGGCATTTTAATAGAGTATACATTTTCCAAACGACGAGCCCCAGAGAGAGGACAAGACTTTTCACTGTGTGTGAATACAGTGTGACAGATTTTAAGAAGAACTGCCTTTAGATTGCATTCAGAAGATTAAAAAAGATCACTTCAGTGCATCTATCTCACTCCCTCACAACTTTACCTCCTCTGCTTGTAAGCTGAGATAACTTGTGTCTATACAAGGTGTGGGTGTGTAAAGTTACATTACATAATAGTTCAGTGTGTACTTTGCTTTTGGGATCATGGTTCAGTTTTTACGTTTTTCGCACAGCAAAGAAAACAAAAGAAACGCATTGTCCATGATGACAAATGTATTATATATGTACTGCTGTAAATTAAGTGAAAGGCAGGAGTGCAGTTTGTGCTTGAGCTAAGTTTCCTGATATAGCCAGTGAGCACAGGTTTAGATTTTAGTTTGTGTAAAGGCACCACAGAACACAACCTGGCAATATCACTAGGACAACAGTCAAAGAACTCAGCCTGCCTGGCCGTTGCTCATCACAGCTACACAAAGTCTGTTATCTTTCCAACTCACTCTTGGAAAGAAAACAAGCAACTTTTTTGAAAGCGGCTGCAGCACAAAGAAGAAGTCAATGTACTTATTTAACTATGGAAAGCCATCGTAGCTGAATAAAGACATAGAGTGAGAAATATCATTTTGAGCATGAAAACCAATTGATGACCTTGTGAACAGATTGCCATAATGACATGGTGATAACTAACCACACTCAATCAGCCTGTGAGCCTGTGAGCTTTTAAAAAAAGGTGGTAAGTGAACATAGCGACAATAGTACTTTGCAGGTCTATGATATACACACAGGTGATAAACTAAAAGGAAAAACCAACATAAAATGACTCGGTAAGGTGTTGCCAAAACAGCTTTAGTGGTCCTGGCATCGATTCTCCAAGTTTCTGGAACACTTTTGGAGGGAAAAAACACCATTCTTCCAAAAGATATTCCTTCATGTAGTGTCTTGATGATGGTGGTGGAGAGTGCTGTCTAATAACAAGCTCTTCCACAGGTCTTCAGTTGGGTTGATATATGTTGCCTGTGAAGGCCAATGCATAGGATTCACATCATTTTCATACTTACCCAACCATTCAGTGACCCCACATGCCCTATGAATGGGGGCATTGTTCTCCTGGAAAAGATCACTCCTATAAGAATAGAACTGTTTCTCATAGATCTAAATGCAAATGCGACTTTAGTTATGGTTTCTACTGAAACAAGCTTCAGTTGAGTTCTTTGTGACTGAAGCTCCTGCCATCAGTTCCCCAACAATAAAACTCATTCAGAGTCCCTGAGGTACTTAACTGTTGCCATCTTGAAAAACAATCCCAATAAAATAGGCTTTTTTCAGCATTTTCATACAGGTCACAGATCAAATGATTGGATGTTGTTGGCTCAACTTTTTGTTTGGGGTGCACCTGCATAAAAGCATCAGTATTTGCTCTGTTTCTTCATTCATTCATTCATTCATTTATTTATTTAAGGAATGTGTCAGTTGAATCATCATCAAATGGACAAACTCCATCTGCTGGTAAAGGAAATGATAACCTTTTGATAACTTTTTAATAATATTCAAGACAAACGTTACCTTCAGTTAACGCAATGTTCTGGTCATGTATACTACAAGATGCATTTTTTGTACCTGTTGATAAGGTCTTCATTGTCGTCACTCTCCATCTCGTCCTCGATGGCTGCCTGGAGGTCACCGATCCTTTTGAAGGCCAGCTTGAGGTCTGCCTGCAGGCTCTGATTAGCAGCCTCTAGGCTCTCAATGTCCATTTCCTGGTAATGAGATGAGAGACAGAGTGATCTTTTCAGCTGGCCAGGACCAAAGGTTGACAAACTCAATGTTACTGATTTTTTGCTGATGGATGCTGTGCTAAAATGTCAGAAGTGTCTGATTGCACTGCGTGCTCATTGATAATTGTTAGTAAGTTGTCTCATTACTGTCTCACATCCTTACCAGTTCGTGTTTTTTGCGACTGGCCTCGGCTTCTTTTTTGGCCAGTTCACCCATCTCCTCTTTGACGTCGCGGATCTGTCTCTGCAGACGTTTGTTCTGTTCTTTCTCTCGATTTTCACTGCTGCTGCGCTGGTCTCGTTCCTCTGTCAGCTTCTCCAGGTTCTCCTTTAGACGAGCTACAAGGCTCTGCAAAACAACAAAAAGAGAAGTTTAACAACGTGACTGTTTGTGGGATAATATAGAGCCACATGGACAGTATGCCAAAATATGTGATGCAAAGCAACACTAACCAGTATTAATTCCTTACCCCCAATGTTAAAGGTTGTTGTAAGAAAAGCAGTTAGTAGAAGTTACACCAGATTTTAGATTTTCAAAGATAATGACAAAGAGCCTAACTGATATCTGTCTGGCATTTCTGCCGCATGCCGATAACCAGCAGTTAGGCAGTCAGACATTCATACAGTTTATCCAGATTTTCTAAACCACTTTCTTGAGAGGAAGAGCTAAATGTGAACACACCGGAAGTGTTGCTCATACTGTATTTACACTTAAAATTGATGAAAAAGGTCGCACAGTTCCGATATTAATAACTGTTTGCCTCTGATGGTCTGACTTGTGATTCTTCTCTTGAGCATGTCTAAATTTTTTCCCCACCGTATAAAAACAGTACAAACTGGCGGTTGTTATGCTTGTGTGTTTTGGCACAAGAACATGCTTGACGTGATTTTAATGGTTGTCTGCTGCCATTGACAGTCCAGTATTTAGTTATAAGGTTGTGACTGTCAAAGACTAAAATCTGAGCAAGTTGGTGGAAACAGTCTGTACTGCTGGTTTCTGCAGTCTTTCTTGGTTGGAACTAGTCCTCATGTTCAGTCTGACTTTGGCCCTTAATGAAAAGATGCAGTTCCCTCTTTCATTTGAATGAAGACAGTCACAGTGATTCCCACAGAGGGCTCTAGTAAATAAACACACTCCAAACAAGATGCTGAGGTGACCAGTCCAATATAGGTCATGGCTGTGGCTTATTGTTAAAGTCTTATAGCTATCACTCAAACTGGACCTGCTGGATATTATTTCTGTTACCTGATGCAACACACCCTCATACATGCAGCCCTTCATGTGGTTTCAACGCAGCACTGTTTTCTGCTAATTAGTATTAGATATAAAATACAGTGTACATTGACAGGAGTCTCATTTCTTTTGCAGTCATTTGTTAATGGACCAAACAACAAATTAAAATGTTGACCTGATGATGGCATTAGATGAAACCTTAGAGGATCGTAAAAATTATTACAATTCATCCTTACAGGAGTGTGAAAATCTGTACAAAACAACCCACCCAGGCCTTAAAATATCTGCATTGATCGATCCGTGGTTCAAACTTCAGCAATGCAGCAGATAAGAAACATAAAAAAAAAACTCAATACATTTCATGGAGGCCTTGCAATAACATGAATAAATGCCTATTGTTGCTCAGTCAGTATGGATATGAGTGTAACACTTTATCTCCACAGAACCCAGTCAGGAGACAACGCTACTGGAACTACTAAAGTGTGTTTGTATGAATATTGCATTGGAGTAGTGGAGCAAACTTTTAGCACATATATGTTAGCACTCAGCACTGTTTAAACAGGTGGCTCCTGTGTGAGCTTGTAAATCTGCAGTAAGTCTTCATCGAGTCAATCAGTGGCAGCAGCACACAAAATCAGCGCGTTAGCTCCTACATAAGCCACTGGCCCTGTCCATATTTCACATACTGAGTGGGTGTTGTACTCTGCCTCCTCACATTTCTATTGATTGAGCTCTGCTACCTCCAGCTTTGATGAGTTATACAAATCAGGGAACCTGAAATATTCTCTTACTACTCACTGGTGAGAAGTCTTAAAAAGCCAACCAAAAGGCAGAACGACTACAACCCTTGTGCATATTTTCCAAACTCTCTGCATTTCACCGCAAGCTAGAAACCCAGCTGTCCTTAAATAAAGCATATTTGATTATTTAATCTAATTTTTTATTTTTTTTTGAAACTTTGGAGGGAAGCAGGAGTAGAGGGAAAGTGCCCGGCGGTGTGCACATTGCACAGCTAGTAATTACTAAAATGAACCTGCAAAACTGAGCACAGGGTCATTTTATCAGTGGGTGAGACAATTTCAATTTCTCACTGGGACAGCGCAGATGGTAACCTTTATCCTTCACTTGTGCATTTTGTCTCAGGCAAAATCTGAATTTAATTTAAAAATGACAGAATAACAAATGGTATTGTCAATTGAGAGTAACACAAGCTAGAGGACAAAGTATAGCAGAGCTTCTTGTATTCAAATGGCAGTGGTCTGAAATTTGATGGAGCATATGTACATGTTCATGTGTTGCCAGAGTTGACCTTTTGATCAGTGGCGACCTTTTTCTGTTTCTGCAGCTGCTCTCTGACCCTAGCAGTACATTTCAAACTCCCACAAATGTCTCTCAGACGCCTACCACCACCAGCACTTCTCCACCTGTGTTTAGCTCTCACCTCCAGGCGTTTGACCTGGGTCTTCTCAAACTCCAGTTTGGTCTCTAGCTCGCGGATCTTGGCCTCCTGTCGGCTGACAAGGGATTTCTCCACCATGGACTGCTCCTGGAACTCCAGCTGGCTCTGGAGGGCTTGCATCTAAGAAACAAACATACATATATTTATGTGTTATACTTGCGTCCTCTTTTATTCCCTTCGCCCTTACACACTCCTTAAATGCTATACTTCCACATGATGAGTCCAAGAATCCGCTTATAACAAGTGTCTACACCTAAATGTGAGCTAGAGATGTATTTAGAATGTGTTAAGATAACAGCTGAAATGAATCGTATTTTTACTAAAACTGAAAATGGCAAGAATAATCAAAACTGTGAGGTTTCATTATATTATATATTTATAAGCATTACAATTATGCACTGCTGTAACATTTAAGAAAACCTCACAACAACTATATAATTTAAACTATTCTTTTAACTAACTAACATTTAACCAATAACAAAAGAAGTGGTAGCCTGTGAGCAGTCTGCTTACAGATCCACGACCTCACTGGAATGAAAGCTCAGGTACCTTTACAGTCTGATGACTTGCTCAACCCCTCAGCTGATCTCTGTGCTGAGCTGGGAATTGATGGGTTTTCATTTATTTATTATAAAGTTATTTTCTAACATTACAGGTACAGATCCTGCAACAGTCAAGACACCCCTCTGTCCCTTATATGGACCATATATGATTATGTCTATGTTGTTTTACTGTTTCACGATGACAGTTGAAAGACCAGCAGGTGCCTGTTTCAGTCGAAACCTGAGCAACTGTGTTGGTTGGGTTCTTATAGTAAAGGTTCCCCTTAAACTCTGTCCCTAATGCCCAATAAGAAAAATACACATATGGCATGTACAGGTCTGCCAACATCTGGTGCCATCGTTACCTGTAACCGAGTGGAAGTTGCCTTGAGTGCTTTGTTTATTATAGTAGGTAACTTAAGCCCCTTTCAGACATCTACTCCTCTCCGTTAATCGGAGGGCATCTGAACGTGTTGACTTCATGTCTGAATGAGCACAATAGTATCTTTTCTGTAAAAGCTAGGAAGGCAATATTACTAGATCAGACCAAGTGTCTTGTCCAACATTAAGAGGAGTTGAAGCATAGTTTGTTGCCTCCAGTTGTTTGTAGGGATTTTATTTTTTCTTCTCTGAGTTCATTACATATCTGCAGCATCAAACAGCAGCAGGATCCACGGAATGTCTCCAAAGAGAGAGAGTTCTGCATTCATTTACGCAGTTACTTACATGTACTTACAAATATGTATAATTTATCCCTGATGTAGAGACGGGATCAGTCAGGATCTAACAGTAAGCCACACTCATAACACTAACCATGAATACACTAGGCTGTTAGTTGTTTTGACAGTTTGGTTTGATTTAGTACTTTGTTTATTCGTACATTATTATGTATTATACATCACTTGATGTACTGTTTAGTGTATGACAAATATTATGTGCCTACCACGGCTCCCTCTATCACTGTGGTGTGTATGTCTGAACGACACCATGAAGAACATGAGCATTTAAGTGGCCTGTGTCTGAATGACAAATTGTTGTCAATTTAACAGACTGATGAATCCAGCAATGTTAAATATCCTATGTCTCTAGTCCACAGCTACATTGTGTGATAAAAAATAATCCATATTTACATTGTGACCATCCATCATTTGATATGATAATACTTGCAGATTTTATATATTAGCCTTTATATGAATGAGAAAAACATTTTGTATTCTGTTTTTTTTTTTAAATTTTTATGTTTTAACATATGTTTCGCCATTAAATACTGGCAGTAGAAATACCTTACCTTACCAGATCTGGAATCTGGTAAAGCAGAGTCATCATGGTGGGATACTGTATGACTTAGAAGTTGGCCAAATTTCCAGCTGTGTATGGATTAACCAAACAAGGTTAATTGCTTACAGGTTACTGGTCTCATCCCCACCTTTTGTTGGCTAGTTTTTGTTTGCTCTGTATGACGGAGAAGAAAAGACCCATACAGCAGCAATCATTTCTGGGATGACATTGCATGCTTGTCTGAGTTAGGGAAGCAAGTTGGCCATCTGTGTCGCACATTGCCAGCACCAATACTGCTAGACTGACACTTTCATTATATTAAGGGTTGTATTTGTCAAGACACCATTGGAAATGCAAAAGAAATGGGCTGTGGCAGTGCTGCACATTCATGCAAGTTTATAAAGTAGTGTGTTCAGTGGACAGTGCAGCAGTGGAAACTCTAGAAACAGCTTAGTGTCAGGGGAGGAAGCACACATTATAATACTAAAACTGCCACAGGGTTATCGCACGCTTACAGTTTCTAACCTGAGCTCTTTAGTAACAGTCACCTAATAAATCATTGATCAAGCTGCAAGAAAACATGAAAATTGATGATCTCCATTTCAACTAGATGCTAGTCCTTCGACTGTATTTTTGCACAGAAAGAAGACTTGAGCCCCTGTCATTACTTATGGTAAAGAGAACATCAGGAAAGACAATCTTCATAACTAGGACGTAAAAAAGTCACAAATGACAGCAACCAAAAACTAACTTTCAATGTGTGTGTGGGCACCTGACATTTGTTATAGGACAGACATGAAAATTTGTGAACCTGTCCCTCAAGTGTGATGTCCGTAAAATTGTATGCATTGACACCTCTTGTGACCACTATGATTATTGGCTTTTAAACCAAGAAATCACAAATATTCCAGTACCTAACACCACTTCAATAAAAGTAATTTACAGTCAAATTTCTTCATTGTGGTTTGGTGCTCTGTCAGGTTTGGTTGGAAATGTAGCTATTCATCCACCCAAAGAAGATGCATAGTCACATTAATTAAACTGAATATACAATTTTTTAAAAAAGTGTTTGTTGAGCATCAACTAAATGCTCTATGTGAAATTCTGGGCTGGATTCCAGTTCATTGACCCCATCTGACAGGCCTCCTCTAGTCTGACTTACACTTTTCAAAGCTGACACAGGGCTGAAATCCAACTTGTTTCACACTGTTACATCTCTCCTTGCCTCTTTTAGTGTGCTTTTAGATGGACTGCAAATTTTATTTGGCTGCACTAGTCACTTATCCGGGGTATGCTGAGAAAAGAAAACTAGTGTTTACCTTCTCCTGAATCTCCTGCTTCCCCTTGAGAGCCTCCTCCAGCTGGGCCTGTAGGTCAGTGATCTGAGCCAGGTTCTGGGCGGACTGAAACCAGAAAAACACGTGAAAGAAGCAAAGTCGGTAAATAACTGGAGGTTGGTGGATAGTAAACAATATATATCATATTTTTTTCTCTCTGCTGGATTAAGTTTAAATAAAAGTATCACTTATTATACAGTACTCAGATTATACATACAGCTAAAATCTTTTAAACTAAACCTGTATCTTTCAAATATCATAAAAAACACACCAACTGGATCTAGTAAAATCACATCATAGCATAACCTTGTCGAATAAATCTGTCAAAAGATTTTTTTTAGTCCAGTGAAAGAATATCAATGTAGCTCATTTCAAAGTGACCTGTGTGAAATATCTGACACGAGTGCTTTTCTTCACAGTAGATGAAGCACTCCACTACAGTAAGCCCCACTGGGAATTCAACTGCTTCAATTTAAACAGGAAGGATGGATTCATTTGGAGCCAGTGGAGGCAGCTCACTCATCATTTCATCAGCTGTGCAAAAGAAGTGCTTTTACTCCACTGCTCATCTGCACATAGAGCTACATAAATACCAATGGAGGCCACTCAGAGCTCAACAAACACAACTGCGTTTCAAAAATCAGTCCATTGGCAGGGATTGATTATTTTAAAACAATTAAATATGAAGCTTGAGCCAATGCTTTTACTCTTACAAATAAACTTTGGTTTGTTTTTTGACGTGACATAGTGGTTGACATGATAGGACATGCAGGCCACACTGTGTGTGAATTGTGACATGTATGTTAAAAAGACAGCTTGCTAACATACAGTATACAAAAGAGCTGAGTGACTATGCAATATCACTTACATGTCAATTGATTCCACACTCTATCTATCTATCACCTTGCAATAACTGAATTACTTCTAAGTTAAATAGTAGTATATCTGTTCTTACCTAAAAATAAAAATTTTAAATTTACAATTTTGAAAATATAGGCGCCACAGTGGGAGCTGAATTCAACAAAAATCAATACACCTTTCATTACTAAGATTTAAATCTTTCATGCCTTTAAGACACTGTATGTGAATCTTTATTTTTAGTAACAGACTCAAATCTCCTCAGAATGAGCGATAAAGCTTTGCACATATTTTTTTTAGAGATGTTCTGCCATTCGGGGCTGCAAGGTGGCTCGGTGGTCAGCACCGTTGCCTCACAGCAAGAAGGTCGCTGGTTCGTGTTCCGATCTTTCTGCGTGGAGTTTGCATGTTCTCCCCGTGCAGCGTGGGTTCTCTCTGGGTTCTCCAGCTTCCTCCCTCAGTCCAAAAACATGTTGAGATTAATTGGTGATTCTAAATTGTCCATAGGTGTGAATGTGAGTGTGCTTGATTGTCTGTCTCTAAGTGTAGCCCTGTGATAGACTGGTGACCTGTCCAGGGTGTCCCCTGCCTTCACCCTAAGTCAGCTGGGATAGGCCCCAGCCCCAGCCCCAGCAACCCCAGTGAGGATTCAGCGGTGTATAGATAATGGATGGATGGATGGCTGTTCTGCCATTCTCCAGTGACTGTTGAGCTGCTCTCTACTGTAGGTGTTGTCTAAGCTGAACTTATCTTGATCTCATCTGACCAAAAATGTGCTCCCAATACTCTCCAGGTTTTTTTTCATGTCCTGCAACAATGTTTCATCTTGCTGTTTTATGCCAAAGAACAAAAAGTTGGTATCGAGGTTGACCGTAATCATGACTGCGATACTACTACAGAAACACTGATTTCCATTAATAACCCCTTGCCAAGTCTGTAGCACATGCCCATGTGTTTTTTGTAGTTAGATTGTGCAAGCAGGCCAGTGTCTGTGTCGTCATTTTAGGTAAACAACCACTATGGTTATGATGAGTGGTACTAATGGTTTGTATACCTCCCGATGCTGGGGCGCTATTTTGACACCAAAGAAAATACTCTACTGTTCAGCTCAGTAATGATGCAGTTATTGAGAGGTGATACAATTTAAAATCATTTGACATCCAAGTGATATTGCACAGAAGTGTACTGTACTGTATTAAGCCTTTTTTTTCTCACTCTTTGTTAAAATAGGAACAAATGTAAAAAATTACACACTAGTCACTTAATATAATCCGTTTCTCATACTGGGATGCGTCAGTTGTCTTGTTGACATACATTATTAGTTGTAGAATGAATCAGTACTGTGCTGGCTGTGTATAAGAATCCTTAAAGTTGCTCATCCTGAGCCTCAGTGTAGTTTTGCTGTTCACAATATTTTTCAATCACTACAAAACTCTATTGAAAACCTAGTATCTACCTAATACCATCAACACTGACTCATAAGCATTATATAGGTATGTCACCGTGTTTTAAAAACAACCTAACAGTTATATGTTTAGCTTAATCAGTTAATAGGCCTAATTTGCTTTGATATAAGTAAGTTAACACAAAATCCACATTTTTGATGTTTCTTTTTGCTTAAAATCCCCAGCGTACAGGACGGACTCACATTCCTGCAGCCACAGCTGTCTAGCATATAATTATCAAAACTGTGCTGTCGGCTTTGTGGAGACTTTGGAGTTGTAAAATACAATGATATAAAGAGATTAAGAGGGACAGAAAGTAGCAGCAGTAGGACTACTCACAAGCTAATACGTTTCAGGGCAAATTTATATCATCCCCAGTCACACATTCACATCCCATATTTTATCACTGTCCACTGCCTCTGCTCTGCTGCTTGTTGTGAAGCTAAGCTAGCAGTGTAAACCGGGCAGTCCCCGGACTCCATATTTGTACAGTGTATATCAGACAGGAGAGAAAGCAGACCTGTGCCACAGCAGCCTTGTGTTTCTTCATCAGCTCATTTAGGTCCTCCTGGTCCTCCTCCATCCTGGACTGTAAGTCATTCTTCTCTCTTTGGAGACGACTTAGCTGCTCCTCCAGCTGAAGGACAGAACGTAAAACAGAGATTTGTAAATGGGATGCTTCAGCTGTGTTGTCACTATGTCACACACAGCTGGACATAAGAGCAACTGCTTCTCCTCACACAAAAAAACAAGATAGCTTTTTAAAATGACATTAATGCTTAAGAGGGAAAAACAAGACACCAATTTTGTTCATATGTCTATAACTGTGAAAAGGGACATTGATCTACTAATATAGATTTAAAACGCTGTGGAAGAACACAACATTACAAAGAGTGTCTCATATAATAACATGTATAACACCATTTTTACAATTACATGATTTAGAATGTAAAAATGGGATAGAAAACCAGCAGTGACAATATGGCCAAAAAAATATTCATTGCGTCATAAATCAGTTTTTTGGGCTGCAAGGTGGCTCAGTGGTTAGCATTGTTGCCTCGCAGCTAGAAGGTCTCTGGTTTACGTCCGGGTGAGGACACCCGAGATCCTTCTGCGTGGAGTTTGCATGTTCTCCCCGTACAGCATGGGTTCTCTCTGGGTTCTCCGGCTTCCTCCCACAGTCCAAAAACATATTGAGGTTAATTGGTGATTCTAAATAGTCTGTAGGTGTGAATGTGAGTGTGCTTGGTTGTCTGTCTCTAAGTGTGGCCCTGTGACAGACTGTCCAGGATGTCCCCTGCCTTCACCCTGAGTTGGCTGGGATAGCCTTCAGCCCCCAGCCTCCAGCCTCCCCCCCCTTTTTTCTGCTATCCTGACTAGTCTGACTAGTCCTTGTTGAGTAAAAAACATTTCAACAGCATATGCTGCCACCACCACGCTTGACTGCAGGGACTATATTAATGAGATGCTGGTTTCTGCCTAGTTCTCTTCACACACTTTTGGGACTTGTGGCCAGGTAGTTCAGTTTCTGTTGCATCAGACCTGGGGGTTTTGCTTCTTGTGGTCTGAGATGTATTTAGCACTGTTGGTTTTCATGTGCTTTTCAGTAAAAAGAGGCTTCCATCCAGCCTCTCTTCTCCAAAACCCTGATTGGTGCAGTGCTACACTGTTGGTTCTTTCTATAAGTTCCACACAAAGGAACTCTGGATCTCATTCCTTGTGGCCATTAGGTTCTTGGTTACCTGTGTGACCAAGGCCCTTTATCCCTGGTTACTCAGTTTGGCTTGGCAGACAGATCTAGGAGGACTGCTGGGGCTCCTACCTTGTTCTATTTCAGAATGATGCACCCCGCCATGCTCAAAGGCACTTTAATGCTGCAGAATATTTCTTGTATCTTCCTCTGATCTGTGCCTTGACTCAACTCTGCCTCACAGATGCATTTTTTTCATGGCTTGGTTGTTCCTCTGACATGCAACATTCATAGACATGTGTGCCATTCCAAATTATATCCAATGAAGTTGATTAGGCACAGGAAAACAATGATCTAGGTGTAGAAGTATCTTAAAGGCCAATGATAATGCACCAGCACTCAAATGTGAGTGTCATAACAAGGGTCTGAATACCAATATAAATGGACGTTTACAGTCTTCCATTTTTAACAAATGTATTTAAACACTGTAATCAATTTTAAGATGTCTGAAGCATGCCATAACATGAAGAAGGGTCTGAAAACTTTCTGAATGCCATGTATTCACTAAATATAATGCAGCACTAGTTACAAAAGCTGTCTTGGAATTGGGTATATTCAGTCAGCGAAAGAGACACGGAAAATACGATTTACCACAGAATACTAGGTTAATATTGAGGAGCTGTTGGTCCACAACAAGTACAGCTCAGAATAAACTTAAGGAAAACTGAATAGGCTGCAAATGATGACAGCACATGTAAAGTGTAAATTCAAAGCTGATGTAATGCATGTCTGCATACACTGGAAAACATATAGACAAAGAAATGGACAAATCAAATTTAGCAATGAAAAGCATTTCATTTTGTTAAAACAAACTAGTTCATCCAAAAATTCCAGCCAAATATGCAAATTCACAAACACCGATCAGGCACAACATTAAACCCACTTGCCTAATACTGTAAAGCCCCACCCCTGATACTACTAATACTAGTATTAGAGACCTTCAAACACAGAATGCTTTGGTAGCAAATCTTTTATGTCCAGTAGAACGCAAGGTCAGGCCTGCACTGAATGGACTTGTTTTTCCAGCACATCCCACAAATGCTAGACTGGATTGACATCTGGGAAATTTGGAGGCCAAGTCAGCACCTTGAATCCTTTGTCATGTTTTTTTTGTTGTTTTTTTTTGCAGTGGGGCGAGAAGCATCACACTGAAAGAGGCTATTAAGAAAACTGTTGCCATCAGGAGGTGCACTTGGTTTGCAACAGTGTTCAGACAGGTGGTAAGTGTTAAAGTGGCATCCACATAAACGCAGGACCAGAGGTTTCCCAGCAAAACGTTGCTCAGAGCATCACACTGCCTCCTCCAGCCACTGCCTATCGACTTCTTCCCATAGTGCATTCTCCTGCCATCTCTTCCCCAAATAGAGAATGTATGAACGCCCAGCTGTCCAAATGACGTAAAAGAAAACATGATTCATTAAATCATACGACCCTCCTACATTTCTTCATAGCTGCAAGCTGTGTCCTGACATCTTTCTATCATAGGCAGCATTAGGGTTTACAGCAATTTTTGACTTCTTCTGTAGTATTGGACCACAAGGGCCAGCCTTCAGACCCCCACACACAGCCTTGAATATTTGGCTCTGTTGCCTGTTGGTGGTCCACTGGCTGTCCTTCAGTGGACCCATTAGGTAGCTACAAACCACTGCATACCGGGAATACCCCACAAGACCTGCAATTTTGGAGAAGCTCTGACCCAGTTTTCTACCCATAACAGTTGGCCCTTGTCAAAGTCTTTCAGATTATAAACTCATTGTTTATTTGCTGCCAAATATATCCCACCCACTGGCAGGTGCCATTATAGGAAGATGGGCACCATTATTGCAAGAAAACCCATGTTATTCACTTTAACCGTCAGTGTTTTTTATGTTGGGACTAGTTGGTATATGCTTATTTTGAACATAAACCAACAACAACAACAAAAATCCCAACACAACATGAGAATAGTGATATCAAGAGTCATTTAAATGCATGTTCAACTAGACATACTGCTCTACATTGTAGTGGTACAGTAAACTAACCAACCAAATTCTTCTGATTGCAGATTTGAAAATAGCTTATAGCAATATTTGACAAAAAGAAAATAACTGCCGGGTTTATTTATATAATAAGGAAATGTCAGCTTTTCAACTTGGTGTAAGACTCAGTGTGCTCTCTGTTGGCTCTTATTGGATCTTTGTCTTGGTTTAGCAATATATATGAATAAATTCTTGTCAAATGTGAGCAAATGGTCACAGTGTGGAGACATGCTTTGAGTTTGTAGGTGTGCCACTCTGTGCAAAGGTTCTCCTTTAAAACAAGACCTTATTAGCTGTTACACAGGCCACTCTGATTCCAGGGCCCTCCAGGGGTTATTTAAGGTCCTAGTCATAACCAAGATATCTAATTAAAAGCTAAAAAGCTACTAGTCTTGTACCTTTAGCTGAGAGGCGGAACTGTGCTCAAGTCATCCTATTTCTGTAATGACTGGGATAATATACAAAAGAGGGAGAGAGGTTGTTGTACAGGGCTATGGATTATCAAATGATGACTTATGTGACGATGTGAAAAGGCTAATGAATCTATTTGCACTTAGAGCGTAGATGAGAAGAGTCAGCAATAAGCAGAGCTGACACTGTTCATCCATCTTATTATGAAACAGTCCGCACAGGGTCTGGAATGAAACAAATCTCTAAATAGAAAACAGCTTCAAATATGGATTTAGATTATCAGGATACGATTTATTTATTCTTTATTTCGTTTTATTAAAACCACCCACTGCCGAAGACATACCAAGGTGTACTTCAGGCACTAAAAATATCTATGAGGAATCTGGGGCAAATTCATTTACATACCACACTTTCTTTTTATAAATCCACCGTTGGCCTCACTGACTACTGATAAAAGCTTTGAATGCAGCTTCAGTTCTGTAGCTTGTGGAAAACACTGTGATGGGCACTTGAAACAATGTGCAAGTCACCAGCATCAAACTGTCATTTAGCACATTTAACAATAGGCTGTCAGTGCAATCCTAACCCAATTACATGGCTTGGCTCTTTGTTTTTCACTCTTTTTCTTCCCCCTTTTAGATTGCCATAGCTCTCTGTGGTCAAATAAAGCTGTCGAAAACATGCAAGACAATTTTCTCAAAACTCTGCAATTACAGGAGGAGAACGGTGAAAACGGCAGCTCATGGAAAAGGAATGCTATTTGCATGGTTTTATCTTTTTGAATTGCAGTATATGATGTGGCTGGGGCTGCATCAAAAAAAAATCTTCCATTTATGCAGTTACCATTTCTGTCATCAGTCCTCGCTCGCAGCCTTCTACTTTCCCAGCAGGCTGCACGTGAGCTGTAGAGGTCGTCCTCAAAGACACCACTTCAAAATAAACAACTGGTCATGCAGCCATCTTATCTCTGCAACGCTCCTTTTTCACATTTTACTAAACGGATCATGCATTCTGAAAAAATAATTAAGCTGCAATTGCTTTCCAACATCTATATTTTCTGTAAAGTCACACTTTTCTAAGTGTGCATACTACAAACAGCCTAAAACAAACAAAGGTAGCTGACATCAAGTCGTCTAACGCCATTTTAAGTTAAAGAGTGATATAAACATTCAGAATCGCTGCATGTCACATTACCAGTATCTGAGACCAAAACAAATGGGCATGTCAGACACAGTTTACTTTTATTTACAATAGATGGTTGTATCTATAAGAGCCAACAAAAATCCATTTAAAAAAATCAGCCATGCTAGCATTGTGAAGTAGAATTAATGGCTGACTTCATATTCTTCAAAGTATGCTGTTACTGTACTGTATCTTTACACAGCAGATAGCGGTTTGCTGCAATAGTAATGCTATATTAATGTTCAAAATCTTGCATATAGAACCTTAACCCATCAGCTTTGCAAACAAACTAATAGTTACCTGCAGCTGCTGTCCATGTCATACAGGTTGTACTACTATAATATTCAAATTTAATGTAATGTCTCTGTAAAGGAAATTCAGAGACTGGTTTCAAAACACACATATTAGAAAATAACTGATAACATGTTAAAGGACTGTAAACTATTTGGTACCAAACCATGGATTAGATCTTCTATCCAGTGGTTCTGAATGTTGCATAAGGAACCTTTAATTTAAACAAATATAAGTGTGTGTTTCGTGTCTCATTACTACGACAACATACGTTATACTCAACCCAACCTTAGCTTATATCCATTCAGAAAGGCCACAATTTACATTGTGCATCATATGCAGCTGTCTTTTATTGATTTTTAATTTTTCTTAAATCAATAAGGTCAAAATCATCAATAAATCTCACACCAATGGATTCTCTGATTGCCAGACATTTTACAAAAAAAGGGAACGAAATGAACGGTCAAATCTTGATACTGGACAGCCGCATCTGATTCAACTGACAAAATTCTGATCCGTGTCCTAATTTTGTCAGATGATTCTGTAGTTATTTAAAAAATGTAAGAATTAAAAAAAAAAAAAAAAGGATTTCAGCAGCACCTTTGGAAAGACTACTGGGTAACATGTAGCTTATAAGGGCTACGATTGAATGAAATCACTATTTTATACTCATTTGGTTATGTTACAATAAAAACAGAAAATGTTTCAATTAGAGTAACAATTGTGAATTCAGCCACATTAAAGTACGATACATGTAATCACAGAAAGCAGCAAATGTCTGAATGGTGGTGTACTAGGCTGACATTTGGCATAGTAACCGGATATTTGAAGACTTGGCAGGGGTGGGTGGCAGTGAATATGTGACTTCCTGTCATCCTCAACTTTCACCACAACGATGCATTTTAAAAATTCATGTAACTGATGTCATTTCTCTGTATTTATGATAATTTACCAAATTAATGCACCAATCACAAAATAATGATTTGGTTCACTGATCTGTCTGCCCAAGTCCTCACCAGAAGTTGGCTGTGTTGCTATTTTGTTCCTTACTGAGACTGAACAGAGAGAGATGAAGAAGAGATTTAGCCATTGTCATGTTAAGGTGGTTCATTGTGGACATTCTTTTTCGCACATTTTCTAATTTTTATTTCAGAAAGTTTTATTAAGTGAAAAAATATGAAAGAATCTGCAGAAGTTTTCACCTAACTTATAAGCGCTAACATTAATCAACTAGCTAGTTAGAGCTGTTAAAATTTGCCAGTAAAACTGACGGTCGCTGAATAAAAATAAAGAGCTAAGACAAGCTTTAAAAGCAATTCGCTGCTAAGCTCGTCTCGTCTCCGACTGTTGGAGCTTGTGTTTAAAGAATAAGGATAAACAGTGATTTAATCTCCAGGCATGCAGTCCTACGTTTACGGCTCAGGAGTTACACGAAAGAGATCCTCACATGATGCTGTGATGCAATATTTCTGTCAGTTTACTGTTTGTACTTGATTACGATATCTGTTAGTGCTATATAGCTAAGACAGCTAATGTGAGCTCATGTATAGATGTGTCAGTGGTTCCAGTGAGTTTGTGTTGCTTTGGTCCAAGCTGTCAGGGCATTTGTCCTAATTTGGAAGGTCCTGTCTTTGAATTTCAAAAATGAAACTTCAACTGCATATGTGCAGTCGTGGAGTGAAAAGTTTTACAAGTAAACCAGATGAGAGCAAAACCAATACAATGTCAAAAAAATGCTATTTGTTCAAATCAGTTTTTAAGTAGATTAAGTAAACACTATTTTCAATAGAAAAACTTTTTCAGACTAGATAATTGGCAATTTTAATAATGTCCCTTTCTTTATTTTAAATATCTACCATGAATGCATTTTAAGTTGCTTTTTGAAACACACTAATTGATTATATTTGCAATCCAACATTGACAAAACTCCCTAAGTCTTTTAGTGACAAATTACAGCCCAAGTTCAACATTACTAAAAAAAACAAAAAGGACTTTGTTCAGAGTCTCTCCACAGGAAGTGTTGTGGAAAAGAGCTGATAGTAATGGCAGTCATAGTAAGTGTACAATATGCACCCTCGGAGGTAACCGAAAGCAAAGGTATCCATCCATCCAACCATCCATCCATCCATCCATCCATCCATCCATCCATCCATCCATCCATCCATCCATCCATCCATCCATCCATCCAATCTAAAAAAGGAAGTCAAACTTTTCAAGGTGCCATGAAATTAGGCTTAGCAATAGTTTTAAAACCAATATGTTCTACAGTCAGTCGTTTCTCTTTAGAAGGCTGGACAGAGAGCAAAAGGAAGGAACCTTGCTGATACAGATAGAAAGACTGAGAGTAAATGAATAGTCAGAGAAATGTGCAATTGGAAAAAGGGAACTGCACTTGGACTAGCATGTGAAAACCAGATTGCCATGGGAACCAGGCATAAAGTAAGAAAACCCATGGCAGAGGGACAGAAAAAGATAAAGGTCAAAATAGATCAGAAAAAAAAATAGATCGGAGAGGCATGGATAGAAAGAAGACAGGTAAAAACAAAAGATGTCAGGAAAAGGATGTAGTCAGAATAAGGAGAAATGTGTGTTTTGCAGAGGATAAAAAAGATCTCCTTCTAGAAAATCTGGAAATGTGGTAGGAAAAAAAACAAGTGGTGTAAGTGAAGACCAGAGTAAGAGGACAGAGGAAGCGCTGTAAGGGAACAGGTGTGTCCTCTAACCCCTTATCTCTGGCTAAAGGCAATGCTTTGACAGGTCTACTGACGCCCTGCTACTAGCACAGATGGTGCAGTCTTATAAAAGCCACAAAAACACCTACGTGACTGAGACAGCTTTAGCTTTTTCTTCCTACTTAACAATGACATGCAGTAAACTTAATCGTATACTTGATCAAATATGCCACCTGTGGTTTTACTGCTCCAGGAAACTTGTTAGAAATGGTCATCCAGAGAGTTGTACTGACCGCCTGTTTGGTTTTGGAGATGTCCTCCATCTGAACATGCAGGTCTTCAATCTCCACCTCCATGGACTTGCGAGCCTTAACTGCAGCTGCGCAGGTGAATTCAGACTCCTCCAGCTGGAGCAGACACAAACATGAAGGAAAACACATCAGCCTAGAGGGACTTCACACCAAATTCACTTTTTTTTTTTCCTTTTCTTTTTTTTTTTTTTTTTTAAATAAAGGTCCTTTTGTTGTTGTATTCTGGTATTGGTCCATAGTGACGGATGCAACAATGTTTTTATTAGTAGAAAATGTCTATTTCAGACCTGAGGGTTTCAGACTGTGAGGTCCCCCTTGGTAGGCACTGAATAACTTGGGGGGGCCGCACAGATGTGAACTGTAAGCCTCACCTACACTGAAATTTTTACACTCTGAGTCTTAGCTTAGCCAAACCAGGAGCTGTATTCACAAAGGATTTTATCTGATAAATGGCTTCATTTTAAGACTTCCTTACTGTCCAGGTTTTCAAATATCTCCTATCTAAGTATCTCCTTTTTGTTTGTCACATGCACACACACACCAGCCATGGGTGCAATTTGGTTGGTCTTAGCCAAGGCCACCTCAGTATGTGGAGGGGTTGGGAATTGAATGCTAGCCCTGCAATTAGTGGACACAGGAACTCTGAGAAACTGATATCGCAAAACTTCAGCAGGTAAAACCAAAGCTTTTCAAATCAAAGCATTTCACTCCATGCAACAATGTTACATACCATGACAGGAAAGTGAAAAGCATTTATTTGTAATCTGCTTGGCCTGAGACTTTTACCATTTAATTTGTTGGGCTTTTGTGATGTTACTCCACAATGTCCATACTTCAAAAAAAGCGCTTAGTGATGGGACAGTAAAAGTCATAAGAAATTACAACATGTTAGGTAAGTAAGTAGATCACCTACAGAAACAAAATCGTACTCGGTGCTTGTAAAGGCTTTGTGTGTGTCTAGCTTAGCCTTCCACAACACTACAGACTGTACCTTTTCTTTGTAACTGGCAGAGTCATTGATACATGATGCTGCTTTTGTAGTTTTACCTGGTTTTTGAGCTGGGCGATCTCTCTCTTGCTGGGTGCGTTGTTCTTTATGTGGTCCAACATGATCTGGGCATCAGCCAACAGAGCCTTGGTTCTCTTCAGGTCCTTCCTCAAGCGTTTCTCTGTCTCAATGTCACCACCTCTCACCTGAGAAACAGATACAGTGAAAACTGGTGACTCATCTGAGGCCACAGGACTGTTAATGGACTCAATAGATTTTATTAGTTTTGAAGGAGAAATCACATAAATGTTCGAGTTAAATTTACACATAGATTAAAGAGGTTGAAACCGTATTAAAAGTAAATTATTATATTTCAGTCAACTAATCATTTAAATTAAAGGTAATAATAATATAATTACACCTTTAACAGCATCAGAAAACATTCATATCTTAGACAAATTAACATTGAGGTCAACATGTGAAATTTTTATTTTATTAATTAAAAAATAATAAATCCATTTTCAAAATTCCTTCCCATTTTTATTTTCCATCAATCACTCCTTTCAGCTCCAAGAAAGATATTTTGAATATTCAGGAGAAGGTTGGGTGACCTTTTCTACTCACATATCAGCTGTTTAAGAATTGAAAAAGTGCATTTTGTTGATAATGTCTATAGGATTAAAAAGCCCTTAATGGTGGATTATGTCACAACAAGAAACTCCACTGTGTGAGCAATGAATATACTGTAGGCTTTTGTCACTGAAGACGCCTATTTATATTGATTTACTTGGACTTCTTTGGCTGCAGCACACCACACTCCTCCTCTATTCCTTTACTGTCAGAGTTGGGCATCAGTCTGGACTATCTGTGTCTGTGCCTCACTAATTGCAGTCAGCAAAGCCAGATAAATATTTGATTCAGTCAGAATAAATGACCCACTTAAATCATATAAACCCCCACATCTCCACCCACACAACCCAACAGCAGTAGTGCTGTATTAGAACAAATGGCATTGCTAACATTCTGTTACTATTCAACTGAGCACATGTAAAATGGCATTTGCTGTGAATCCACAGAGGAAACTTAGAAATACACGAGTTAAGCTCAAGTTCTTCCAGAGTAGAATGTCTGTTGTGCTATTACACACAGATTTTTTTAAAGGTTACAATTTTCAATCTGGGGTGACTGCATTCACCTCAGGTTTTACTAGCTGGTCCCAAGCTTAAAAAAAAAAAAAAATCACACAAGTGCTTTTTTAGAAGTTGTGTCTAAGATCAGTTCCCTTGCACTTTGTACAGTGTAATTACCTTGTCCTGTGCTGACAAAAGCTTTGACTCCAGCTCTCTCTTCTCTTTCAGCACCTTCTGCTTCTCATCATACTCTTCTTCGAGCTGGACTTCCATCTGCTTCAGCTACACACACACACACACACACACACACACAAACAAACAGAAATAAATTAATTCATAGTTCTATCTGACCTCTTATTGACTTGAACAAGTCAGGAAAGTCACCTGGAGCCATTTCAAAACAGCTACAGATCCCCAAATCATCTGTGCAAACCATTGCTTTTAAGTATAAAGTGCACGGTACAGTTATGTCACTGCCACGATCAGGAAGAAAAAATAAACTACTACATGCTGCTGAGAGACAAGTAAGAATAACCAAAAAGTAGGTCTGCAATGAATTAGAAGCTGCCACAACACTTGTGTCAGTGTCCACGGTCAGATATGTTTTACGTTGCAATGGGCTGAGAGGCTTCCATGCAAAAAGGAAGCCCCTCTTTAGAAGCAGCATCTTTAGACTTGACTGAAGTTTGCTGCGGATCACATGGACCAAGAAAAGGCCTTCTGGAGGAAAGTTCTGCAGTTGGACAGAACTCAAATTTAGCCTTTTTGTCCACAATGACCAGAAATATGTTCGAGGGGGAAAAAGTGAGGCCTTTACCCCAAGAACACCAAATCTGCCATCAAGCATGGTGGTGGTAGTTTTATGTTGTGGGGCTGTTTTGCTGACAGTGGAACTGCTGTTTTGATGAACCAAAACACATCAAAAAGTGGTATGAAATGTTTAAATGAGGCTAAAAATAAGGTTATAGACTGGCCTCAAGAACCTATGGACTGTGAAGAAAAAAGAAGACTGTGTCAGAAAGCTAGTAGAGGTGAGAATGGCCTATAACAACCTTATGAAAGAATCAAAATTTCTGATTGTTTCTTCTTTTTTTTTTGGGTGACAAAGATGTATGTTTCAAAGATTCCATCATAGAAAAGTAGGAGTTATAGGAGTCACTGACAACTCAAGACTGCTATGATATACATGGTCTCTACAAGTGTATTCAAACTTTTGTTCACAACTGTAGTGCTAATTCCAATTTAAGTCATCTCAGGGAAGTTTACATAGTAAGGTCAAAACCTCTCTACTTGCAGCAAGAAAACTCCCTGAGCAGCATTTGGCAAAAAATAGAGATGAAAAACTCCCTTTTAACAGGAAGAACCCGGTTTAAGAGTCAGACTCAGGGAGGGCAGACACCTGTCTTGATCAATTGGGGTGAGGAGAGAGGGAAAAGATGAGCAGAACATTTGTATTTACATTCAAGTCTACAGCCCTCTGAAACATTACCAGTACACTAGGTTCAAGCTTTGTGAGGCTCTTGTATTGCAGATGTTTAGGAAGTAAGATTTCCAATAGTTGCTATCTTAATTCAACGTGTTTGCATGCTCAGATTTACTTACACTAATAATAAAGTACAGCACAGCCAGGGCTGGAGAGAATATCAATTGTCTTTTAGGCATCTAAAACAATTGTTATGACAGACACTCACGTTCCCCATAGGATGAACTATAACAATATCTAGACCAGATTTTGTGCCAATGCATCCAGCAGATGCTAAGATACTTGACAGGGTTATTGACCTGCAAGTTGTTGGTGTCACTAGTAAAAGTCATCATCAAAGTCTGGAGGATTCATCCTCTGGAAAACATGAATGACTGTATCAAACGTCACAAAAATGAATTTAATTGTTGTGACGATATTTCAGGGGTGGGCCTGACTGTGACTTTCCCAGAGTCATGCTGCTTGCATGTCTAAAATCTGTAATTTGTTGTGAGAGTTCAGCTAGAAGAGAGGTGTAATGTCATTAAAACTTAAAGGTTTTATCTCCTTTGAAGCGTCAGCGTTAAGCAAGCCTCCTACCAATAGGATAAACAGCTGTCTTGTGTGGAGTGTTGACAAGGGAAAGTGTTTAGACTTTAAGCAGTATTAATGGGCTCAGTCTATTTCATTCTGATCTTCAAATGTACAGGTTGGAAATACTGGTCTGATACTTGTGGTAAAATCAGGGGACCATGAACACAAAGTTTTTTTTTTTTTGTCTGAACACTGGCAATAGGAAGGTATAATAATCTTTTGTTATTTTCTGGATGGTCAGTATCGGGGAAAATATGCTCAATGGGGTATTGAAGCTTGAGAAATAACAGGACAAGAACGACACATTGACTACTTAACAAATAGTGAACCAATTGATAACCTTTCCTAAGTAGACTGTACTTTCTTACATTTCAGATGCATAAAGATAAGCAAACCGTTTCATAAAAGGTTATACATACAATAGCTTTATGCTGTTTCCTTCATTTATCTGTTTATATATACTACAAAATTCATAATAAAAGAACATGTCGCTATATAAATGCCACTGGAAGACAGCGTGAAAACAGTGCTCCCATATTGTGTAAGTGTAGTAAAAGCTAATTATGCGTGTGCTAACGTGGGCTCGCCTGGTAAAGGGCAGAGACAGGGCAGTCAGCACCAGCAAAGCAAAACAAATACAAAACAGCATTAAGTGCAGTAATAGCAATAAAACTAACGATGCACCCGCATTTCACTCCCCGGGCCACATACACATATATCAACATGCTCCTCTACTGCATCTCAGCCATGTTTGTGTCATGTAGCAGTGAAGCCAACCAACAGAGCCTTTATCTTCACATTAACTTAAAAGCAAAATAACTTACATGATCTGACAAATGTCTTAATAAATCCTGTGTATACTTATATATTAATTTAAGCAATAAAAAAAATAACAACACTAAAAGGGTGAGCTATTAAACCTACAAATTATGAAAATGTCATGCAAAAAGCTGATATGGTGTTCATGAGTTAATTAGGGTCTTTCACTAATTAAGGCCGGGATTAGTACAACATGTGTTTTCACAGCATTGATTCACCCATCCAACGTAACATTTCACATGCCTTATGAACCATTCTGAGGCTCTGTTTTATTACAAATGCAGCATGCCCAACATTATATACGTGTCAAAATAAAGGCCTATCAGCAAAAATGAGCCTTTATGTGACCTTTAAGCTGGAGGAAAGCTTTTAATGTGTAATATTTATGCAGACACTGACAGTAGCACGTCAAATTACCGACTCATACATTTCTGCTGTGACTTAGCTAAAGCCCATAACAGCGTTGTGTTCTGTTGGTCAACATCATGAACACAATATGAATGTTGTCAAATGAGGCAAGACGGTAAAAAAATGTGCTAACCTGTTTGGTGGGATACACTACATGAATTGAACAGTCTTAAAATATGAACAATGAATCTCCTGACCTTCTTGTTGCAGGACTGTCTGATCTCCTCCACCTCGTCATCTTTGCTCTCGATCTCCTTGGAATGGGTTTGACGCAAACGCTCCATCTCCATCTCCAGACGCAGCTTGGCCTGACATAAACAAGCACATCCCACATTATACACTCTCAGCCGACTGTTGCTTAAAAGAACACTGTGCTCATTTTCAAGCAAATTTTTATATGTTATTCATCGTTGTAAATATATCTATAGCAGCGGCCAATAAACTCTGTTATCTACTTATCGTGGAAGAACGACAGGGAGTTAGCATCACCACATCTTAGACTGCTGCTGGAGCTGAGAACTGATTTTTTTTATATAGTCTGTAACCCACAAACTATATGATCAGCAGTAAATGTTTTGACTATCTGAACCCTTATCCAAGACTGTGCTGATGCACTACGACCCCTCACACCTGGTTCAGTGCATATGTTAGTGTGAAAGTATGCAGGCCAGACTTATGTCGTGTTGAAAGTGATACAGAAATGTTACAAGATCTGACCTTCGTAGTAAAATTGCTTTTGTGACTCCTAAGTGACCAGAGTGCCGATTCAGACATGAAGCCAATACGCTCAGATGCTGATTGCAGATGTGTTTGGTTATGCAGCAAAGTTAGTTTGCAAAGTAGTATGGATCAGACTCACTGTAGCTGTTTTCTAACTAGCAAAATATGACAATCCCAGAAAGACAAAACTAGCAATCAGCTGGTGAACATATTGGAGTTTGCAGCAGCTAAAGAGCCAATTATTTTTTTCAAGAGTGGTAGAAACCATGATGATGAGACTAGGTCTAATCTAGCCTGTTAGTCAGAAGAGAGTCGATCACTGGTGTAACCAAGTAGTTTTAATTACAGTAAAATGTGGCACTGGCTGTCACCAATGACAACAGCAGCAGTAGCAGGTTGAGGTGGACATCACACTGGGGAGTCCAATACAGAAAAGATCAGTTTGTGTTTGGTTATATTTTAGCTGTTACTGGTCTGCCAAATTTTGTGGGGAACAGCTGCCAAAACCGCAGCTAAAGCAGGTTGAATGCCGAACTTAAATTAATTCAAACGAATGTTAATGCTGCCTGCTGGACACAAAAAGAAACAACTCTAATGTAACTGACATGTGACCCCACAACAATGCCTTGTCTGCCAGTGGACTTTTTGGCTTCTTCTGCCCCCAGTGGCCAAAAAACAAATTCAGCTTTAATGGGAGCACTGTGCTTGTCTGTACCTGTTCCAACATCTGGATGGTGCCAGCCTGTTCATCCAGCTCCTCCTCCTGGTCCTTCACCTTGGCCTCCATGTCCCGAAGCTGCTTTCTTACCTGAAAAAAAAGAAGAATTTGATAAAATAGAGAATATTAACAGGTAGATATCAATTTCATATTTTACTATGAGTGGGTACTTGTATTACAAACTGCATGTACTCTTGACTGAGTACATTGTCAACAGAAGTGCTGTAGCACTGAAATAATGCGTGCTGTAAATTCACTTCAAAGAGCTTCATACCAAAAATGTACAAGCAATAAAAAACAAACAAACACGTGTACACCCAAAAAAGAATAATTAAAGACAAACAAAGAAAGAAGACCTTGGCCAGCGATGCCTCATCCTTGGATTCCTGGGAGTTGAGGTCCAGCAGCTCAGCCTCCAGCTGGTCCACCTTCAGGTTGACTGCACACACCTCCAGGTCTTTATCCTATGAGACAAAAGGTCACAGTCAGAACAGAGAGCAGGGCACATCAGGGAATTACTATGTGAACATGAAAGAGAAACTGACACACTCACAGGTGATGAGGGAAGGTTGAGCAAATATTTATTCAGCTCAGCAGGTAGCCACAAGGTGTTGCACACACAGTAAAGTATTTCTACAACGTGGGTTCATGATTAGCAGACACGCACAGTGTAGACGTGCAGACCTTATATATTATGAATGTAATCCTCTTTTGACATCAGTGTTGTATTTTTCATTTCATCTGTTTTATCTGAGACTACTCTTTTTGACAGACTGAATATTTTTTTAAAAAGGTATAGCTCTTTTGTACGGTCTATACCTTACCGTGATGAGCACTGTGTGATGACATATGTTGTAAACTGAGCTCTACAAAAAAAATTAGGTTGAATTGAATTGAAAAAAAATCTGTATTTTGGGTACCATTTAGTTTTTCTTGGAAAAGTCAAATGTCAGTCACATGCTAGTGGACAGATTTTTGACGTTCAGAGATACTGATATTGTTTTTATCCTAATATAGTCCTTGACAGTAGTGTTGTTACAGTTGTTATTTCAGAGTGACAAGTGCACAAGCATAATGTCAAAACACTTCTCTTGTTTCCATGGCATTACTAGTCCATGTATCCTGCTGAATAGATAATAAACAATAATGCCTAGATACATAGGTAAATACAGTGGAGCAGAATGTAGCTGCAAACAGATCCTACAATATCTAAAATAAGCAAATAAATACTGTAAGGGAAATTAATTAACCATTTTAAAGATGAAGGACAAATGCTTTTCAAGAAACCTTTCCAGTTGTTTTTTGTCCTGGTAGAGTCTACAGAGCCTTAATTTCATCCTGTCTGTATGCTTCTGAATCATGTTGTTTCAAAATGTTATTGTACATTACAATAGTGTAGTAGTAAAATGTACGATAAGAGATGCAAACTGCACCTTCAGAAGTAATTTTATACTGCGGTTGTTAGCATATTGCTTCTAGGGTCATACAGAGAGTCATTTAACTAGGGATTCAGGCAGCTGATCAAATTTTTGCCTGGCATCACTTTTGTCACTCGTATCAGACATGAAAAGAACTTCTGGAACAATAAATTGACACCAGAGAGGAGAATCCAATCACGAGCAGGCACTGGAAAGCTTAGGGTTGCTATGTGGCTTTGGTCCATACTACATACTTGTCATTATACAAACATAAAAATAAAGAAACATTGGTGAAGAAAAAAACTCACCTAAGTTATATATGTATGCCATTTTATTCAAGATTAAGTAAAGAAACAAAATATCCCTATGAATGACTTATGGAAGTGTAATAAGTCCTGAAATCAATAAATATGAAGAACTATATTTATATATGCATGTGTATTTATAAATACACATAAAAAAGCATACATATAAATAGGCTTGTACTCTAGGAAGGACATTTTTGATTTTAATTTATTTAATGATTTATTTAATAGCCATAAATAATTATGTTGTGGGAACATTTATGTATGGATTTATTTATTCAATAAATTAAATATCATTCCACAATTGTGTGACACAGTCTGGACCACAGATACACACATGGACTACATGAAAACCATGAAAAACATTTGCAGCTTCATTTAAGAGTGGTGCTTAGAAGATACACAACAAATTCCTGACAAAACTGCAAACGCTTTAAAATGTCATGTAAATAATCTTAAAAGAGTGGTGACGTTTGGTATTATATTGTTTATTATGGCAGATTCCGATGCATTTTGTTACGTGAACTACACAAACAACTGAGCATTGTTTAAGCACCACAGACTTTCTGAGTATCGTTGCTGACCATGTCCATCCATTTATGACCACTGTATCATGTTCTGATTCCTACTTCCAGCAGGATAATGCATCATGTTGCAAATATGTCAGTCAGTTCTCTGTCCTCCGGTGGCCTCCACAGTCACCAGATCTCAACCTAATAGAGCACCTTTGGTATGTGGTGGAACGGGAGATTCACATCATGGAGAAGACTTTTTTACTATTTTTTTTGTTGAGTCTTTTAATTTCACTCAGTTGTTGACTGGCTCAACATAAGAAAATAGACATAAACTAGAACTGGTACTGTTATATGGCCTACGTGTCATTACCAGTAAAATCTGTGATATATGTGTATGAGAACACCTGTCGGTTATATTCACTGCTACAATCTCTTGTTCCATCGTTAAAGCTTCTGCTCCTGGATGTTGTTTACGTGTGATTAACCCCGAGACCACACTGCAGTTTTCTACTCTTTTAAAGACGTGTTACGATCTGAGTGCATTTTTCTAATTCACCTGCACCAACATCTTGATCTCTGTTGCTCAACTCAGAACTAAACGGACAAAACCAAGATCAGAGCCCTGGTTGAACGACACCACCCATGCTGTCATAAGTGAATGTAGACATTGCATTGCAGCCAAAAACTCCCACAGGTCTCTTTAATTCAAGTTTTAACTCCTGTGATACAGCTTGTATTACAACAACACCTACACTTTGTTGATAGGATCTCTGCTCTTAGGTCTTTAGCTGGTCACAGTGCTATGGACCCTTCTGTTCCCCCAGTGTGCTCAGCTGTCTTTGATCAGATTGAACCTGTGTCACTCAACCTATTACTAGAGGTGGTTTAGCATTTACGGCCCACAAATTGTCCTTTAGACATTGTTCCCTCTAGACAACTTAAAAGTGCTTTAAAACAGTGCTGGGTCAAGCACTCTTACACTGGTGAATACATCTCTCACATCAGGTCATGTCGCGGTTGCCTATAAACATGCTGTATTGTTACTTCATGTAAGAAAGAACAACATGGACCCTTCACTCCTCTCTAACTTCAGGCCAATTTGCAAGTAACCTTTCCTGTCCAAAATGTTGGAGAAATTGTTTTCATCAGCTACAAACCTTTCTAGAAAACCATGACATCTATGAAGAGTTTCAGTCTGATTTTAAATGTCGTCCCAGCACAGAAACAGCTCTTTCACAAGTGTTTAACAACCTACTTTTAACATTTGATTGAGGAAAATCTGAAATTCTAGTGTTTCTGGACTTGACTGCTGTTTTTGACACCGTGGATCATGTTTTGCTGTTATTGCGCCTTAAAGAATGTGTGGCCATCAAAGGAACTGCCATGAAGTGATTTAGGTCATATCTCACAGATATGAGTTTCTCAGTTACTCAGGTGAATGTTGGTCACTTGTAGCTCCTCATATTTGTGGGGTCCCCTAGGGATTCATTTTAGGTCCCATCTTTGTCTCATTTGTCTTTAAGAAACACCACATTTCTGTCCATTGTTTTGCAGATGGTATTCAGATCTATCTGCCCATGAAAAGCAAAAGCAAAAGTAAAACCTCAGTGTGCCTTGATGGACTGCTTAAATCACGGTAAAACATGTGGATGGATCACAACTTCCTTAACCGTGACAAAAACAAAACAGAATATTTAGTTTGGTCGTCCAGACCTTTTAGGTCATGCTGATGGTACTCTTGGTCCTTTGGGCTTTATATAATAAATCTTTTGTTAGTAACATCAGTTTAATCTTTGACATCGCCTTCAGATTTGACAGACAGATCAGCTCAGTGGTTAAAACCAGCTTTTGTGTATTTGAGACTTATAGGCAAAGTAAAGCCCTATCTCCGTCTCGGGATTGATTTTAGAATTTTATCATTTGTCTTTAAAGTTTTGAAAGAGTAGGTGCCACCTTACTGAGCAGAACTCTTGCGTCTTCTTACCCCAGCTAGAGCACAGAGGTCGACCAACCAAGTGCTCCTAGATGTTACGATATCCAGGCTCAAAAACAGGCTTTTAGAGTCGCTGGAACAATTTACCCTTCTATTTTAAAACTGCTCAGGCTTTAAAAACTTTTAAATCACTACTTAAGACGCACCTCTTTTTATTTCCGTTGGATTCAAGTAGAGCTTGATAACCTGACTTTATGTGATAATACAATTCTTCATTGATAAATTATTAGTACATTATTATGTTACTGCCTGGTATGTATTTCTTTATTATTATTTTATCAATTTCTTTTTGTTGTGTCTTTAATTTATTGTGTTTTCTTATTTTATTTTACCACCTGTACAACACTTTGGTTTAACTAATGTTGCTTTTAAATGTGCTTTTAAAATAAATTTGACTTTGATTTTACTTTGCTATACTAAAAGCAATGAGTTGCATATTTGTTTAACCAAGGTTAAATATTTAGAATTTACAGTGTACAACCTTGTATCTATACAAATAAATATTAAATACATTTAGATGGGAATATTTAAATAACAAAAAAAAAAAATCCTATCAAAGTTATGTGACACAGCGTGGAGCACACAGACACACACCTCCAGCTGCTGTCGGAGACTGAAGGTCTCTCCAGTCAGCATGTCTTTCTCTCGGGCCAGTTTCTCCCTCAGGTTCTTCTCCCTCTGCACCTCCTCCTGGGCTGCACTCAGCTCACTGTCAAACCTGCGGGCAAACACACAACAACACACAGATTTTCACACACTACCCCAATTAAAGCATCTACACTACTCTGAAGACATCTGCAAAGCAAAATTCATTGTGGTAAAGATCATGAAAAATCGAACTATTTAAAATGTGCTGAGCTGGTCACGAAGAAGATGCTACATATTACCTCTGTTTTATCTACAGCATGCAAATTCAGCAACACCTTTGCAGCTACTGAGCACACCTCTTGTGTCTCTCTCACACACACACATACACACACACACACACACACACACACACCATACTCAGTTTAGCAGCAGTACAAATGAGCTTGAGACTCGTCTGCTCCCTCTGCACAGCATGATGCCATAAACAATCTGGAGCACAATGTCTTTTTTTTTTTACAGCTATTATTGTTACTACAGCAACATCACTGGACCCTACATAGTCTGTGGGAACCTGGCAGATTACAGTACAATAGCTGTCACATGTATGTACAGACAAACGTGATTTTGTGTGTTTGCACTGACTTCCTCTGCTTCTTTTCCAGGTCGTGGTTGCGACTTTGTTGACCCTCCAAGTGAAGTTTAGTGTCCTGCAGTTCAGACGTCAGCCGTTGTGTTTTCTTCTTCAGCTGCTGGATGTTTCGCTGGGATTCCTCGTTGTCAGCCTGCAGGTCGGTTATCTGCACAAAAAACACATGTACACAATAAATCAGAAAACTGTTTGCCTTGATGCAGCTTTACATAATATTGCCAATATGTTAACCAGCTTCATGAGGTGGTCACGTGAAACGGTTTTGTAGAAAGTTAACTTATGGACTAACTGGGCCTCATAATGAAAAAAACACTTGTTGGGATGCAGCAAACAGCCCTATTCAACAACTACAGTAATTCATGTTATGCCATGAACCAGTCAACTAAGTGCAAAGAAACAACAGTCCATCATTGTTTAAGGACAACTACACATTTTCAAGTGAAGTCGCGAAAACTATCAGAGGCTGTGATGGCACCATTTTTTTTTTTTTTTTTACTCACTACTCTATCCTATAGAGCAGCGGTCCCCAACCACCGGGCCGTGGACCGGTACTGGGCCGTGGGTCATTTGGTACTGGGCCGCACAGATAGAATAAAAACATTTTATTGGTTTATTTTTATTTCCAGCGGAGTCTGCAGGGTGTTTTATTTTGAAACATGACTAGCTCGTCTTCCCATCACTTCCGTTTGTGCTCGTTTCCTGCACATGACTGTCAGTTTTTATGCCCGGCTGCTAAACGAAGCCGTCAGTCAACAACAAACGTCTCAGGAGAGCTGCTTTGGAAAGTGGGAGAGACTTAATACTGAGACAGGAGAAAAAGTAAACATGTTAAGCAATAAAAATTAATTTTATTTATTTAGGAAACTTTTCAATAGAAAAAAAAAAACAATTATTATTTGTTATGTGCGTAATGACCGGTTCGTAGAAACATTTCTTGCTTAAAACCGGTCCGTGGTGCAAAAAAGGTTGAAGACCGCTGCTGTAGAGGGTCCCAGGGGGGCTGCACCTACGGCCAATCTGGAGTCACCAGTTACTCTAGCACGTATTTGGACTGTGTAAGGAGGCTGGAGCACCCGGTAAAAATACATGCAGGTACAGAGAGAACAAGCAAACTCTACTCAGAAGGGTTCTAGCCGACCTGGAGATTCAAACCCAGGTCCTTCTAGCTGAGAGGCTACAGTGCTAAACGCTGCACACTCTGCCGCCCTCAGATATATCAATAAAACCAAAAAGGTCCAAAAAACCTCATGGTGGCACAGCAGGAAATGTCACAAGGATTCATCATCGGAGGAATTTTGCAACAGTCCATCTGATAAATGTTGAGATATATCTGACTGAAAAAAAACGAGAACTTTGACCTAAATCCATAGTTGTTGAGATGTTTCATTCTGGACTGAAGAGGTGTGTTAAGAGCACGGCTAAAAACAACTACCAACAGTGACTGAAAGAATTGAACTAGAAGCAGCTCAGTTTTAAAATATCATCCCATGTACATACTGTACATTAACAGTGCTATCGAACCATTCAGATACTGTATCTGCTAAGGATCTGAACTCTCAGCTGCGAGAACTGATGATACTATTATCTTGATTATTGAATTTCATGTTTCTTACTTGCAAGAAAAGGGAAGAAGCCACAGCAAGCAAGGACTTCAGTTTAAAATGAAAGAATAAAGTCAACTTAGAATCACCTCCCTAAAATAATAATTAATAATTGAATAGATGAATAATAAATAATCTTTATAAACATATTTTTTGTCCTTTTACACTTTAATTAATTTGAATCCAGAGTGTTTAACATTCTTCAAATGATGTTTCCATGTCTGTATAAGGTGTGTATAAAAGCAAGAATATAATTTTCCGTCATTGTAATAAATAAATAAAAATGTAAGGAAGTGAGTAATTAAGTAAATACATAAATAAATAAAGTGTGGTAGTACTTAGAACAAGAGAATGAGTTTAATCAATTAGGTAAGAACTTTACATCATAACACAGACAACAAAAGTATGGAGCATTTGATTTCATTTAGTTTATAAATAGGTTGAATTAAAATTTATTGAAATAAAACTGGGTTCCCTCTGTGGTAGGTGTGCCTTTGTGTCCACTCACCCTTCTATCCAGCTGCCGTTTGTTCTGCTGCTCCACCTCCAGCTTGTCATCAAACTCCTGCTGCAGCCTTTTCTTGGTGAACTCAATCTCCCTGATGGCTCGTTCATACTTCAGCCTCCACTCTCCTCCTGTTACAGCAACATGGTCGCGGTCAGAGTTTTTACTTTATTAGATTTGCTGCATATTTCTTGAACATCAGTTTATCATAAAAATAACAGATACCAAAGATGTGTGCATGAAAAAAAATTGCAGGACACTATAAGAATTGAGAGTTAAAATGCTTCTGTGCTGCAGAGGTCAAAATCCCAAAAAAAGAACAGTGCAGTGGGAAGTTCCAACATTATGGCCTTTGATATCCTGTACCTATACCTGGAATCCAGACTTAAATTAGCCAGGAAAATCTGGATTAAAATAAAAATGTGGAAAGACAAGCAGTAAAGGTACTGAACAAGGATGCACTGCGGACTGGAATTGGCCCAAATCACCTGGCTATTGGGTCACCCCACACTAAAAGTTTTTATATTAGGTAAACATTTGCAGTGCTTTCACAGAAAAGCTACTGCAAGTGAAACTCAACACTTCTTGTGCTTTTTCATTTTTAGAGTCACTCCTATTTCTAACAGACTTTTAACTGGGAACACCAGCACGTAGAGTTGACTGTAACTGCTGCCTTACTTTTTTATACACACATCAGTTTTGTAGGTATGTATAAGTGCACTGGAAAATGAAATGAATAAGACAATGATTTTACCAATGCATTAACTCAGCTGTACAACAAGCACAAGCTTATTACTGTAATTACTGTATTAATTATTAGAGATCACCCACACACCTTTAAGGTATCTCTGTGAGGTGTAACTTATTTGTGTGGAATGTACTTAAAGTCTGACATGAAAACCCCTTCATGATAGTGCTGCAATATCATTTCAGATCTGCTATGGTACAAACCAGCAACACAGTTGCAACCTATGCAACATGAAGACACTTACTGAAATCAATTCTACATTCACAAAGCCTGTATGCCACACAAAGACAACTGGCAGCCTGCCTGCAGGGCGTCTGCAACTGAATCCTTACTTCATTTCTCACTTTGAACTGATCCATTTCTAATGTACTTCTTCACACGGTCTATTCTTGGCTTTTGTAAAAGCATCGATTGGACACCACCCCTGCAGTTCCTGCACCTCCACTGAACAACACCCACTGAGCTTTTCTCACAGTCTGGGAAGGAATTACTACTATTGTTACGTCTGTATGGAGGCATGTGAATGCACAGTTCATTCAAAGAGTTGACAAAAATAACAAAGACCACAATACAAGTCTGATGATATGAGAGTGTGAAGAAACTATCAGAGGTGTTCATTCAGCTCAGTGCACCTTCTGTTTACAGGCTCTAAACAAAACAAGAGTAAGCTTTTGGTGGCAAGAGACTAATTGCGACTACCAATCTTTTGTGTCAACAGAGTTTTGCTGTTTGGACTTGTGCCTGGGAAAAACTGAAACTTTACAATAGTTTGTGTTCCATTTGATTTTGTGGCAAAAAGGCTGAATTAGTAAACTGACCGAAAATATAGCAACAACTAACAGAGAGAAAATCTGAAACTTCCACCAAAAAACAAAACAAAAAAAAAACAACTAAAATATTTCAAATTAGTAAATATTTACTGAATGTTGTCATTGTGAAAGCTGCATATTACACACCACATGCACATTTTAATGACAAATATATAATAAAACCATGATTACATTGCAAGAAGGATGTGTTCAAACTGACAAAAGCACTGCATTAAAAAAAAAAAAAAGACAGCCTCTCATTCATATCTTTGAGACCACTGCACTGGCAAAGTAGGGACCCCAACAGGAGGGACTGTCAATGCGGCAACATAAGTGTAAAACAACAGCTGCTAACACAGTCGTACGAAACACAGCTACTTAGACTTATGTTGTTCCACCTTAGCAGCTTGATCTGGTGATGCCCACACAGCCCTGAAAGGACATCTAATCAGTCAAACACCTGCGTGGGTGTCGAGCAGCTTTAGCAGACTCCTGACAATTAGCATTTTTATGAGTGTGTTTTTAACCAGCATAACATAAACGTGTGGAATCTCAGCAGATTGGTAATTATTGCCGCGCTGAGGGAGGTTCTATTATTTTGCCAACATCAGGACTGTGTTTGGAAATGCGTCTGACCTGTGTCGTCATCGTCCATCTCGCCGTTGAGTTCAGAAGCCCTGATGAGTCGCGCCTCCATCACCTCCATCTCCATGCACTCCATCTGTTTCTTCATGCTGTCAAACTTGGCCTGGTGGATGAGAAGGAGAAGTTTCTATAGCAACATGAACACATCTGTCTCATTAGTTCTTTAAGTTGTCATGAGTTGGAGCCGAAACAAAAACACAAAAACAACTCTGAGACACACTGGATTAGAAAGTTTGCTTATTGTTGAGGTTAGATTGATACATCTCCTGCTGAGACAATAAATTAAGTTCACAGTTTAATTATGACTGGATGATTGCAGTCCAGGGCAAGAATGTTCAAAGTAGCTCTTCAGACTACTTGTAGTGATATTTGTGACCTTCAGTGTATAATTTTTGCAAAAACTTTCTGAAAACCTGAAAAAAAATGAACTCACAGCTTATTATGATACTTAATTTGTGCAGCTTTTGGTGGGTAAAATGAGACGCAAAGCTCCCGGGTAAACTCCAAAACCACCTTGTTTAGGTGAAAATGGAGAAGCATAGCCAAATTTCAGCTGCGCTTAAGTTTTGTCATATGTTTTTAAAGGGGACTCATTAAACTGTTAAAAAATGAATGTGTTTTGTGTTACCAGGGGGTGGGTTACCAATCTTTTCATTACCAAAAAAAGAAAAATAATTGTAATCCCCAAATTGCCATTATTTGCATACCCCTACAAAGTGAACCTTACTTCAGAATGTTCCTTTTAAATCCCAGCTTTACAAAGGCAAAGCTGAGATTTAAAAATAACATAAGTAGGTGAAGGAACAAGGACAATTTTGGGCATTGCAAGGCCTTATTTAGAAACTTAGCACAAAAAAACACTGCAGAAACTAATCCAAATACGTACACACATCTAGTCCATCTCAGTGCAACGTTCCCAACATGCAGTAAATACCCACATTGCCCCCTTGTGCCTCTCCCTCAAGCACACACTCCAGAAGAAATATCAATCCCACAATTTTATACGCCGAGCAATTTATGGGCAACTCCTCCCCATCGCGATCTGAGCAATCTATTTCAACATCCCCCCAATAAAAAAAAAATAATAATAAAATCAGACAATGGATAGAGAGAGCGAGGGGAGAGCAGGGGTGGAAAAATGGTGTGTGTGTGTGTGTGTGTGAGAATACAGATGTATAGCAGAGAATGACATGGAGACAGTGTGGATGTACAAATGACTCCATAATAAAAGTCCCTTTTGTAGGTTTAAGTGCAGCTTCATCTGATCTGGTGTTTGCCAGAATATGTTTTGAGGACATTTACGAATATAATCTTTACAACTGCAAGTGTGTTATATATCTTGCATGTCACATATACAGTCCACTCAAAGAGTTAATAGTTGCTGTCATCATTCTTGCAGTCAATAATGGCTAGCAAGTGATCCCTTCATTGAGCGACAATGATGGGGACAAAATCTGTTCAGTTGAAGAAAATGTGCTTGCTTTATGAGTGAATGACTACGGCAGCCAACAACTACTTCAACGTATATGACACAAAAATGTTACAATAAAAAAAGAACTGATACAATGCGCAGAATCCATCCTGTCTGAAATGAGCAGCATTCTCTATTTTCTTGTCATTTGAATGTTCACTTAGGTACAAACAAAACTCTGAACCGGTACAAATGTAATTCTGTTCATCATAATATCATCATGTGGCTGCCAATGTCCTCATTAAAGATGTTATTAATGTCATCTTTTGACAGCATGAACTATTTAGTAGTTTCTGGACATTTCTTCCTTCAGCAGTTGCCTTAGGGTCTCTGTGCAGGTTGCTGACCAGAACAAAGTCTGATTGCACCTAATAATATAAAATTGCTTATTGTGGGCCCCAATATTCTCTTGTCTATTATCAGAATTGTCACCTTACTGTAATAGCCTCTTAAATTAGCCACAGATTTAGAAAGATGTCTAACTTAGAGCAGGAGGTTCACAGTGCAGCTAATCTGATGACATGTGCGCAGCTGTATTGGAATTTTCTGATTGGCTACTACTGTCTGCTACACATCTGTTCTTTTGTCTCCTAAATGTCTGTAGTTACTGGAGATCTGGGATATTCTTTTTAACACTTTGACTGAAACTGGTAGCTTTACAAGGCATTTCAAAGCAATGCCTCTGCCAATGATCATATCTCACAGCGAGTCATAAACAGGTGGAATTATTCAGACTGAATTGAGCAACTGACAGTAGTCTGTGCAGTTCCAAAACTATTTTCAAAGAAAAAAAATGTCGTTTTAAGATACCAATACAAAGAGTTTCTCACAACCCTCATTATGTGACTTTGTGAACCTAATTTGGTGAAGAGCTCCAATGCTGTTTGTAGATGCAGAGACCCAAAGGAAGACTCACACATCATACTTGGCGGAAAATGCTGAATTGCTGTTGTTTAGGAAAAACGAAAAAAATGACAGAAATCTACTCATGTAGAAATAACATGCAATGTATTAAAAATCATACAAGAATCCGGGGCGCCGCTATAGCCTGGTTGAGCTGGCGTCTCATGTGCAGGGCTACAGTCCCAATGTGGAGGTCATGAGTTTGAGTCCCGCGCATGACCCTTTCCCACACATCCTCCCCCCATTCTTCTCCCCACTTTCCTGTCTCTCTCTCACTTCACTATCAAATAAAGGCACAAAGGCCAAAAAAATAACTTAAAAAATAAAAAATCGTACAAGAATCTTTGAAAAGGGATTTTTTTTTCCTCAAATGACAACTCACAACAGAACAAAACCACCTGCACTTGTGTCTCAAATTATCAAACCAATTTAGGGCCGTACACCAAGAAAACCAAAATTTTGTTGCATTACAGGTGAAAAACTCATTTAGACAATGTGGTTTCATCATCTAACAGGATGTGTTCTCCTGTCAGAATCCTGTACGAGTAGGGAAGTTTGGGATTATTTGGTATTGCATAGGAAAAAAAGCACAATATGATTTTCTCTATAGTAGTCTGGAATTGTAAAATAATCACTGGCATGTATCTTCAGTAGGAAATCTTTACCACACAATGTCAGCTTGTAACTTACTACTGCTCATTTTAATGAGTCAAAAAAAAAAAAGACACATTTTGTCCGTGCATTGCAGGAACGGAACACTAAGTACACAAACTCTGAGAAACAGTTGTCTAGTGTATATAGTTTAGTTATTTTGTATTGTACTGATTAAAAAAAATAAATAAAAATTAAGAAAAAACTATTTTGAAGGTCTACTTCCACCTTCCAATATTACAGCAAAGTATCAGACGTAAATCAGTACGTGTGATCTGAGAGGATACTCTAACAAGATTACAATAGCGATTTGTATTGTCTCTTCATGGCTCAACTAGGTCGGCTGGTGATCAATTGTAAATCATTCTGATAGAACTGACCTTCGATAGAACAGAGCTAAAAAAGTTGAAATGGAAGCAACTACCATATTAGCTATGTAATACCATCCTGTTTTATAAAGCCCATCTCTGCCATGTACACCCACAGAAGGGCAATTGTTTTTAGTCATTCCTGAGATGGGAGTTTATATTTGAAGAGAGAAAATCAAGAAAACATGGTCATTTTCTGTCAGTCAAAGTGTACTGTTAAAGATAATTACACACAGAAACAAATATTGTACTATAATAATCAAGCATTTAATTTATATTCCTCACAAATCCAACTCTGTAAAACACAACTGTTACTCAACTTATACACCGACACAAGTGACTCTGATGTGTAATGGCCCCTGAGTTAACGTGTACTTTTCTGTTACGTTCGTACAGTTATTTTGAATTGACACATTGGTGTCATTTTCTGGTCTTACAAAGCGCAAGGAGTGTTTTCCATCATCACAGTCCAGTTTAAAGATTGTTTTGCTAAGTCAGCAAAGAGAAGTAGTAACCAGTTGAATGAAATCTGTGTTGGGAGCTTTAACAATGACTGAATTACCTGAATTTCAAACTTATTTTGAACCATTACATAGAGAATTAAACTCTCTGCCAAGAAACATCATCAGGAGGCTCTTCTCTTCAATATTTCAAGCTGATGTGCTAATGCATGCTGTAAGGTTAAAGAATATAGCTACAAAAACTTCAGTATCTTATTGCAGGGCTTTAAACTCTTATGCATGTCTGTTGAACATCCCATTTCCATTTAGTTTAGCAGACATCTGGTTGGAAAAAAAGTACCCAGTGAAGAAATGGGTGAGTATTATAACCTTGTGAACCCCAAGCAGTCTCTGGGTGTTTTTTGCCCTTATCACATTTTTATTCAGTGTGGGCTCATTTTTCATTGTAATATAAAGACCTATACCTGTATGGGAACAGAACAATCATGGCTAGAAGTAGAGACAACTAAACAATCTCTTTTGTTCAGTAAAACACAGTCACAAATGTGTGGTTTATTTGTTAAACTTATTTTTTGTTGTATTTTTTTTTTGATTATTTATCTTTTTTCCAAGTACCTACAGCTGTAACTAATACTAAAACAAAAGATTTTATTGCATGGATCTACATGTTATAGATATTTATCTATTTCCACTTTGATAACTTTTACAAACTCTGTTTCACACTACTCTGTACATCGGCTTTAAAATGATACTTCACCATGCTGAATGTATCTTTAAACAACTTGCTGACAACTTGCTCCTCTGTATACTTTTTTGAGTGATGACACATTAATTTTATTGCTACAGCATGTTTCATGTCTCTCTAATCTGGAGGAGCAGAATGGGTATGTTAAATTCAGTGACACTGAATAAATACATCTCTAAAAAAAAAAAAAGTTCAATTTTATAATGAACATAGTTTGACATGTATAAATCAGTCATATCAGTTGCAGAATTGAACTGATGCAGGCCATTGCCCTATCTTGTGCTAGTTCCAGCTGGGGCTGTTTTGTGTATTTTAGTTTATTTATATTTTAGTTTTAGTATATGCAATATTGCTGATCAATTTATTTAATTATGCTGTAATCAAACAGGTCATAACTGTACTCTCATTGCTACTTTAACGGCATCTAATTAAACCCCAAAATCTCATGTGTATCGAAGTTACTTATTTAGTTTTTTTACATGAATAAACATCGTTTTAGCTTAAAATGGGCCGTGATTTTGAAAACCAAAAAACAGAATAAAAATAAATCTCCTCTTGAAATCACTGAATCTTTACCCAAACGGTGTGAGTGCGTACGTGTGAGCGTGCGTGTTTTCATGTCTCTACCTGCAGATCCTTCATGTCCTTCTCCAGTCGGAGTCTCTCAGAAGTTTCTGTCTCCAGCAGCTGAGAGGCTGATTCTCCAGTGTTCCGCTCATCAGCCAGCTCTGATGACAGCTCTGTGATCTGATGCAACACATGCACACAGTCCCACACATTAAGTGTCAAGCAGTCATCTATATTGCATTGATGTATAGCTTAAAACACTGACTCTGTAAGAAACAGTGTGACTTTGTTGAAGGCCCAGTTTGATCATTTATGTCAGTAACTGTTAAAAGATCGTCAGGGACTTGTTAAGAACAGGCTAACTGACTGACCAAATTTAAGTTTAGTATGACAGTCATGGACACAACAATGTATAAACAAATCATGAAACTGAACAGTCTACTCTCAAAATCGGACTCTTTTTGATCATTCCTTTACAGCTCTCTCACTAGTTAAAGGGTCTGTGAAAAAATCTTTGACATAAACTGTCTTTTGGTTTTGTTCCCCTCAGACATGACCCAGATCTCCCTCAGTATGTGTGTGTTCTCACCCGGCTCTCAAGACGGTCGCTGTTCAGTCTCAGCTCATTCCTCTCTTTCTCTACTTTCTCCAGCTTCTGTTTGAGCTGCTGGATCTCTTCCTGGAAAGGGAAATACAGAAGGTATTGAAGAGAGACATACATGTTTGTGGACAGAGTAATTACACCCATAACTGGTTCTCATGGGTGTTTTCCTTCTGCAAAGAAATATCTGATATCCATCATCTTGTGTAGACGATAAAATATCATCATTACACAAACACTGATTGTAAAAATGTTAATTCAAATCCTCAAGCAAAGTTTTCAAGATTTGGTGACAATTCCAAGCACTTTCATGGAAAGTTTTTGTTTTTATATTAATGGGGAGGATATTTGTAATATTGATGGATATACTAACATAAACACAGTTTGATTTAAAGAAAACCACAACAGATATAAAATAAAAAACACCACAACTTCTACTGTATCAGCCTTCAAAAATCCATCAGTCTTACATTCCAACAAAAACAGTAGTTGTGACTCTCCAATTCAAAGGTTGAAATCATTCTTCTTACAAATATGTCCAAATTGCGGCTGTGTGTGTGTAAACTCACATCCTTGCCACGGATCTGTTCCTCAGTGAGCTGCACCTCTATAAGAGGTCTGACGGTGGTGAAGAGCTTCCACCATGGCCAACCTTTGACACCACGATTCTTCTTTATGTTCTTCTGGATGCAGCGGATGGCCAGATCCTGGATCTGTCACATACATGCAACAATATTTAGCAGATTTTTAAAAAAGCATAAAACGCATCAGCTGTAAGCAATATCTTCTCAAAGTAGAGTAATTTATAACTAACAAAAAGGCCACTCTGAGGAGTTTTGAAATGCGGTGATGTGTCTTGTGAAAGTAAACTCACTTTTAAACTTGGAGTTTATTATTTATTCATATGTTAATCATATATTTATAACTATTTCCCTAAATATGTTTTAATCTTTCCAAAATTACAGTTAAGGACAAAATTATTAGTCACCAAGCGATAGTGGGTAAAGGCATGGAGCATTTTCCTAAACGTCTGTCCAAGGTTAACATGATTCATCAAATTTTTCAGCTTTTCCCAAACTTTTAAAGGTTCTCATCTTGTAATTTATTTTTTTTTTTAAATCTTTAAGATTGCTGCAGAGCAAATACATTGAATTAAGGTGTTTAAAATTCTTAAACCTCATGGGAATTCGTCAGGAAAATTTAGCAAATTGAAATGTTTAGCTTTGAAACCACACCTGAACCCTGTCTGACTTGAATGTCTCAAACAAACAACACTGTAGCTGGAAAAACTAGTTCCCACTGTCCAGTCTCTGTTAAAATTCTGTTGAATATTTGAAATAGGAAGATGAATATCACTTTGTGAAATAAGCTTCACTTTCATCTACCTGTACTGCTGTTTACTGGCCTTGTCTATGAACGTACTAACATGAATTCATTTGAAATGGTCGCAGGGTCACCGGACCCTCATCAGTGCATACATATCCACTGATTGCGCTCTGTTGCATTTCTGCATTGATTGATACAGGATAAACTTTATTGTTTTTTTTCTTCTATATTTAGACATGCTTTAAAGTTTGTCTGATGTCACTTGGGTTTTTTGATCACAAATGTGTACAAAAACAGATGAATGGAAATGTGTTCAGTATTATAGTGTTTAATCCCTGATAGTGACAAGTTTGTTAATTCTCTGCATGCTTGGCATAATTACGCTTGGGGTACCAAACAAGGCGATGACTGACCTGGAACAGGCTATGCAGATGTATGTAAATGTCAACCAACACCTTTGTTCAGCCTCGTTGAAACTAACCAGAGTGAGTTCACATTTACAGTATTAAATAAACATGGCATCTATAGAGGAATGTAAATGCAATGTGATGGGATGGTGGAGAAATCCTGCCCAGTATTCTGCTGGAGCCTCATGGAGCTGGTCTTGAGGATAGTTTAAAGCAGAAGTGAGCCCAAAAGAACAAGGTCAGCTTTTCTTGTTGTGTATTGTTTTAGTGCGTCTGGAGGTAATGCTCAGATAGCAACTCATGCTTATGTTGTTTTAAGATTCTGCTGATGTGCGAAATTCATCCTGCAGTTGTTGTGAGAACCATGTTCCAGGCCCTTGTGTGTTTGGTTGCTGATTATGGTGGTCCTGAAACCTGAAAATGTAATGGTATGTCTTCGTCTTCCACTGCCCTTTCCTCTACCTCTCCTTTACACCTGGCACCAGCAGGCCGCTATACAGCCCAGCATTTCATGTGCACGCACACACGCACGCGCGCACACACACACACACACCTACACACACACACACACACACACACACAAGCAGCAGCATCTGCCCACCTGTTCCCAGTTGGGGTGGTGAAGGTGGGGCGAGGGTTCTGTCTTTAGGCAACTATTTAATTAGGCTCAGTGTTGGCTGGCTGGCAGTGGAATCCCCCACGCTCCTCCACTCTCAACTGTTCCCCATGAATGTCAAAGAGATAGAGAGAGGAGAGACAGACTGCAGGGCTTCAAAGCAGCCAGAGGATCTCTTCTATTTGTCTGTTCCCCCTTGGTGAGGCTCAGTCTCCTTCTCCAGCTTTCCATACTTTCTCCCTTTTCTGATTCTCCTCCCTCTGACTTATTTGCAAGAAGGCTTTGAACGCTGCTACCCCAGGGGAAAAGGGGTAGGGGAAGGCAACAGGAGAGGTTCCCCAGAGCAGGCAAATAGACAAGATGGAGGAACAAACTTGCTGATTTTGTGTTGTGGCAAAATAAAGAGGGCCTGAGCACATTTCAGTCAAACTGTCTGGGTGTCATCAGTGACAAAACTGCAAAACAAATTCAAGGTTTGAACTTTTGGTATAACTATGACAATGTTCAGAGACAGAATTGTGAATGTATAACAACTTCAGGAAAAAAAATCCTAATTTGGTACTCAGTCTGAAACCTGCTATTACTATTGCACTGGATTTTTGAATGATTCTGAACATGCATGTATTTGAAAGATTCCTTATTGACAATTTTTGGAGTGGATTGGGAAGTCTGTCTGATGATAATGAATGAAGATACATGAGGCGGCTCCATTCTGTTTTGGCTGGATTTGGAGTTATAATACAAATGATTTTCATGAAATTGAATCCAATTTTTGCTGCACCTTGTGATCTACATTTTTTTGTCTGGGTTAGTCATTTACTGTATGGACATTGTGCAATTACCATTCTCCTCATTTCATTCTTTGGTTAGCGGAGGAGTCTGCCATTCCTGCTTGGGCTCAAACTGCCATTAAAGACTGAAGGGGATTTATGGAATGGTGATACTTGATCTCACTGATATCAGTCACTTATATTTGTCTCCCAGTTTACAGTTCATTCTTCTACAGGCATATCAGAGGTCCTACCCAGCATCTCCTATTGCTGCTGCTGCCGAACGCTCTCAACTGGCGAAATATAGGATGAATTCTATTTAGAAGCTGTCACAGAACTGCAAACGAGTATCAGTGTTAAACAGAGCTGACATTTTGTTCACTCAGCTATTCTACCACTGACATACACCAATTAGCCACATTAGAACATTAAAAAGCACCTATCTAGTATTGTATGAGTTCTTTTGGGAGCTGTGGGTTGCAGGGTGGGGCGTCTATGGATGGTATTCATTCCAACACATTCTACAGATGGTCAACTGGATTGGGATGTGGGAAGTATGGAGACCAGGTCAACACCTTGAGCTCTCTCTCATGTTCCTTGAGCAGCTCCTGAGCAGTTTTTGCAGTTTGGCAGGGAACATTGTCCAAGTAACTTCTATATAAATGCTAAGACCCAAGGTTTTCCTGGCAGATCTTTGCATTGTTACAAAATGATCAGCGTTATCCACTTGAGCTGTCAGTATTTTATTGTTGTGGCTTGTCAGTGTGTGTACACGTTCTAGTTACAAATGTCACAAATTAGACACCAAATGAATTTAATTTGACATGAAAGCATCCAGCATATAATGTTAGTTGTGAGCTATTGCTACACGATCCTAAAGTAGTCAATACTAGTCGTTGTCATTTTTGGATTTTGGTTGAACCAACCCTTTAACAATATATGCGTTTGTAGCACCCTCATAAAGTTTCTTCTTTATCACTGTTACAGTGAGACCACAATAATTCACCTTCCATCCATTTCTTATTCTCTTTATTGTCACTCTACTTGCAGCTATCTCACTCCTCACCCCCCTGCCAAAAAATAATAAAAATCACAAGGAGAGAGGAAATCCACAGAGCAAAATTCACTAAGTCCCAAAGAGAAAATGACTATGCAGAGACATGCTGAGGTGCATTAGAACAGCCACTAAAGTGTAAGTGTTTTCCTCTTCTCTGCTTTGAGAGCTCATACCAAGTCTGAGATGGCCAGAATGCCTACAAATTGCACATTAGCAACTAGTTGCTTTCACCAGTCTGAAAGAAATGAACCTGATTCCAAACTACAATAATTACATGAGATTACTATTTACCCCAAGAGATGAGGCTCAAACTGAGCCCTTCAGGGGAGACAGAATAGTGAAGTGAAACCCAAATGCCCTTGAAAAGTAATTTTAGTTGGCAGGCCTGAGCACTGTGCAGCAAGAAAGAATAAACTGAAATGGTAATGAAAGCTTAATCTCCACAAACACACATACATATACACACATACTAGACACACGAAAACTACACACAAGATTTAACTGTGTGTTCACATGAGAAAGCTTCCAAAAGAAACATCAAAACGTCCATGAAGCAATGCACAGAAAGTCATAAGATCCATACTGGAATCTTTAAGTCACTGTTATGTTTTCTACATGTCAGGCTCACGCTGGTAAAGTAACACCCCTGTGATAATGGCGAAGACAAAATCCTCTAAAAGGGTAACTTGTGAAGCATCCAACAAGCTCGTTTGGCAACATTCTAAATGCATCTCCATGGGTTTAAACTCCTTTTTTTATTCAAATGGGAACTGTGCAAAATAAATGAAATTCCATGAAGTTCTTAAAAACACATGAACACAGGAAAAAGTAACTGGTTTGCCTCCACTGTTGGGATCAGGCATCATGGCCTGGCAGGGCTTCTTCCAGCTTGATCTAGATTGCCATT